TAAAGTTCTATATAGGTTTCTATCGTGCACAAGATCGTCCGATAGCACTTATATATCATTTTATATATACGGCTAGAGTAACATTTTTTGTAAAAAAAAAGTTTGTTGTTGTAGTACACACCCTAGAACGATGAAATCCGGAAAAAAATGTATGCCATCCGATTTCTACACTTCCAACTTAAAGTTCTATATAGGTTTTTATCCTGCACAAGATCGTCCGATAGCAGTTATATATCATTTTATATATACGGCTATAGTAACATTTTTTGTAAAAAAAAAGTTTGTTGCTGTAGTACACACCCTAGAACGATGAAATCTGGAAAAAAATGTATGCCATCCGATTTCTACACTTCCAACTTAAAGTTCTATATAGGTTTCTATCGTGCACAAGATCGTCCGATAGCACTTATATATCATTTTATATATACGGCTATATTAACATTTTTTGTAAAAAAAAAGTTTGTTGTTGTAGTACAAACCCTAGAACGATGAAATCTGGAAAAAAATGTATGCCATCCGATTTCTACACTTCCAACTTAAAGTTCTATATAGGTTTTTATCGTGCACAAGATCGTCCGATAGCAGTTATATATCATTTTATATATACGGCTATATTAACATTTTTTGTAAAAAAAAAGTTTGTTGTTGTAGTACACACCCTAGAACGATGAAATCCGGAAAAAAATGTATGCCATCCGATTTCTACACTTCCAACTTAAAGTTCTATAAAGGTTTCTATCGTGCACAAGATCGTCCGATAGCACTTATATATCATTTTATATATACGGCTATAGTAACATTTTTTGTAAAAAAAAAGTTTGTTGTTGTAGTACACACCCTAGAACGATGAAATCCGGAAAAAAATGTATGCCATCCGATTTCTACACTTCCAACTTAAAGTTCTATATAGGTTTTTATCGTGCACAAAATCGTCCGATAGCAGTTATATATTATTTTATATATACGGCTATAGTAACATTTTTTGTAAAAAAAAGTTTGTTGTTGTAGTACACACCCTAGAACGATGAAATCTGGAAAAAAATGTATGCCATACGATTTCTACACTTCCAACTTAAAGTTCTATATAGGTTTTTATCGTGCACAAGATCGTCCGATAGCAGTTATATAGCAATTTATATATACTTCCATAATAACATTTTTTGTAAAAAAAAAGTTTGTTGTTGTAGTACACACCCTAGAACGATGAAATCCGGAAAAAAATGTATGCCATCCGATTTCTACACTTCCAACTTAAAGTTCTATATAGGTTTTTATCGTGCACAAGATCGTCCGATAGCACTTATATATCATTTTATATATACGGCCATAATAACATTTTTTGTAAAAAAAAAGGTTGTTGTTGTAGTACACACCCTAGAACGATGAAATCCGGAAAAAAATGTATGCCATCCGATTTCTACACTTCCAACTTAAAGTTCTATATAGGTTTCTATCGTGCACATGATCGTCCGATAGCACTTATATATCATTTTATATATACGGCTATAGTAACATTTTTTGTAAAAAAAAAGTTTGTTGTTGTAGTACACACCCTAGAACGATGAAATCCGGAAAAAGATGTATGCCATCCGATTTCTACACTTCCAACTTAAAGTTCTATATAGGTTTTTATCGTGCACAAGATCGTCCGATAGCAGTTATATATCATTTTATATATACGGCTATAGTAACATTTTAAAAAAAAAAAAGTTTGTTGTTGTAGTACACACCCTAGAACGATGAAATCTACAAAAAAATGTATGCCATCTGTTTCCTACACTTCCAACTTAAAGTTCTATATAGGTTTTTATCGTGCGCAAGATCGTCCGATAGCAGTTATATATAATTTTATATATAATTTTATTTGTAAAAAAAAGTTTGTTGTTTTAGTACACACCCTAGAACGATGAAATCTGGAAAAAAATATATGTCATCCGATGTCTACACTTCCAACTTAAAGTTCTATATAGGTTTTTATCGTGAACAAGATCGTCCGATAGCAGTTATATATAATTTTATATATACGGCTATAGTAACATTTAAAAAAAAAAAAAAGTTTGTTGTTGTAGTACACACCCTAGAACGATGAAATCCGGAAAAAATGTATGCCATCCGATTTCTACACTTCCAACTTAAAGTTCTATATAGGTTTTTATCGTGCACAAGATCGTCCGATAGCACTTATATATCATTTTATATATACGGCCATAGTAACATTTTTTGTAAAAAAAAGTTTGTTGTTGTAGTACACACCCTAGAACGATGAAATCTGGAAAAAAATGTATGCCATCCGATTTCTACACTTCCAACTTAAAGTTCTATATAGGTTTTTATCGTGCACAAGATCGTCCGATAGCACTTATATATCATTTTATATATACGGCTATAGTAACATTTTTTGTAAAAAAAAAGTTTGTTGTTGTAGTACACGCCCTAGAACGATGAAATCCGGAAAAAAATGTATGCCATTTGATTTCTACACTTCCAACTTAAAGTTCTATATAGGTTTTTATCGTGCACAAGATCGTCCGATAGCACTTATATATCATTTTATATATACGGCTATAGTAAAATTTTTTGAATGTTTTTTTATTAAAAGGCATTCTGTAACGATATAATCCCAAATATATTTATATTTTATCAGATTTGTTCCTTTCCACATTTATATACATATTTTAATTGATCAAAAATATTTTTTTTAAAGTAAATCATGAAAATCAATTTTTTTGAATCTTTTCCACGTGCATAAACACATATTGAAAATGTAAATAATGAAAACGAGTTTTTGCGTCTTTTCCACGTGCAGAAACACATACAGTGTCTCTCATAAGTATTCGAATTTAGGTAAACTATGAAAAGAAACCAAATTTAATAATATATTTTGTGTGGGAAATAAATAAATTAATTTGTTATATTGTCTAGATAGTCCTTAGTTTTGATATCACGCCCCTTAAAACTTGAAAACTTTACATTTACTTAAATTAGTTGTGCTTTTTTTAAAAAAAGTCCATGAAACTACTTCACAAAAGTATGCGAATTTTCCTGTATTTCATATTTGATCATATTATACGATACACACATTTTAGAATCGCATGGTTTTATGCTTAATATGGGTTTAAGGGGTTACTATCAACCGCATGGATATATTTTTGACCCATTTGGTCCACAATTTTGGGGGATTTGTACCCTCTTTTCATGTAATATCATTAAAATGGCGATTTTTGACTATATTTGTAATGTTTTCACCCTTTTTCCAGAGATAAAACCAAAATTTAATATTGGAATTTAATAGAACCCATAGGGTATCTAAAAATAATATTTTTTGTTATAAGGATCTGTACTTAAACGTTCCAAGATGTATTTTTGCTATCGTTTTGCAGTTTCTAATTGAATTATCTGGATCATAAGTCCCTTTTCGTACCTCTAGGGACGATATTTTCCGACAAAGTTGTCTAGTGTATATTCATGTACATATTGGCACTAATATATTTTAAATTTTCAATATATTATAGCGGTATACAACCCCAAAACATGCCTTAACAAAACGTCATCCTATATAGTAGATTTCAGTTTTTACTACTCGTAACTTTACGCTTATGTTGCCCGTTACAATAACACTGTAAGTCCAAAATTTTGGTTTTAATTTGATCATAGTAAATAATATTTAAACACATATCAACATTTTTGAGTTAGATCATAATGATATCGTGCCATGCAGCTTGGAGGCCATTGGTATATAAAAATAATTATTTTACTGTTTTGAATGGTGTTTCTTCGAGGCATGTTTTGGAGTTGTACACTTCCACAACACATTGAAAACTTAAAATGTATAAAAGCTGATATCTAAAAGAATATATACCAGAAAACTTTCCCCGAAAATAGTTGATCCTAGTATTATAAAAATGGACTTAAGTTCCAATATATTGAATTAGCGAAAGAAGAATGATCCGAATAATTTATCTTGGAACGTTCAAATACAGATTCTTGTAACAAAAGATATTATTTTTAGATACCCCAAGGGGTCTTTTAAGTACCAATATCAAATTTTTGTTTTATCTCTGAAAAAAAGGAGAAAAATTTACAATTATGGCCAAAAATCGCTATTTTAATGATATTACATGAAAAAAGGGTACAAATTCCCCAAAATTGTGGACCAAATGGGCCAAAAATATATCCTTTCCGTGGATAGTAACCCCTTAAAACAATATTACGCATAAAAACCATTCGATTCTAAAATTTGTGTTGCGTATAATATGAACAAATATGAAATACAGGAAAAATTCGTATACTTTTGTGAGGCAATTTCATGGACTTTTTTTAAAAAAGCACAATTAATTTAAGTCAATACAAATTTTCAAGTTTTAAAAAAGCGTGATATCAAACATAAGGACTATCTAGACAATATAACAAATTAATTTATTTATTTTGCACACAAAATATATTATTAAATTTGGTTTCTTTTTATAGTTTACCCAAATTCGAATAATTATGAGAGACACTGTATTTGTAAAAAGTCGAAAAGTCGACTTTTCGTTTCAACTATAGAACCCTGATACTTTGTGTTATTTTTGTTCCCGTAATAAACTAAACAACATAATTTAACCGCCCACTTATTGGCCCCTAAAACTATACGATAAAAAAATAAGTATATAAATCATAAACATTTGCGTTTAATGGAATGGTTGGAAAATATGGTACTTTTTTCACTACATTTTGATATCGAAAAATATCGTTATTTTTAACTGCCGTATATTCGTATTTCTTCAATGCATTATAAACAAAAAATATCCGATTTGATATTCTAGATGTTTTAAATACTATTCGCAGGTTTTTTTCGATAATTTTTAAACTTATTCTAACATATTTTAAACCTTACAAGTTTTAAACCAATAGCTATGTTCTTGTTAATAACTGCCGGATTTGCAGGTATAGCAGGAATAAGGAATAGTGTCGACTAAAACTTAGAATTCTCACTTATTTGTGAAAATACCATTTGTTTATTTTAAGGTTTATTTTAAAAATCTTTATTTAAAAACTAACAATAAAAATACATAATTAAAAATATTAATGTAATGATAATTTGACTTTAAATTATCGTAATCGATAATTTGTTTGCTCATTTTCTTCTTAAATTATTCATTTGAGCTGGTCGATCGTACGCAGTATCTTTCATACTTGACGTTAAAGCTCCTGTATAGCCTCTCTGTTGCTGAGAGCTTTGAGTTCGTACTGTCGACATCATGGTATTCTGTCGTATGGGTGAGGATGCATTACCATTTAGTTTACCATTCGACGTTGGATGATAGGTGGTGTAAGCATCATTATTAATTTCGGATGAACCATAAGCACTGTCTTTAACTGGAGAATCATAATAAGGAGATTTTGCATTATTATTGTTGTTATATTGATAGGTTGGCGGTGGTGGTTGATTTGGATTCGGATTTTGCGAGGTTGATATTTGATTAGTATTGGAAGTATTGTTATTATTATTTATATTAAGATTTAGATTTGCAGGCATTATGATGGGTGCCAAAGTTTGAAAAGAATTAGCCAAGCCCATAAAAGTAACCGATTTATTGTTGTTATTATTGTTAGATTGTTCGGCTCCCATATTTGGCGTATTCAAACCAAAACTATTTTATTATCTAAAGTGGGAGTACTGGCAAATAGGGCGGCTCTGAGATTATCCGATTTGGAACGTTGTAAAATACTTTTATTGGGTACAGGAGAACGTCCCGTATTAACGCCAATCGAATTTTTAGTTGTTGCCAATTGCTGTTGTGGAGTTGCCACAAAATCACCACCCTGTGCCGATGTTAATACTAAATTACTATTGCTAAGCGTTTGATAGGAGAGTTGGTCGAGACTACCGTTAAGCTCACCTAAACGATTTAGATCTGTACTTGTGGAATTATAGATTTCCATGTTACTTGCTAATAAATCGGGACGTGAGCCTAATGTTAGAATACTACCGGCCAAACTATCATTGTTATTCATCATGGACATGTTACTGGCCGTCGAAAAGGGACTTTCAGATTTTGGTCTAGCAACGACACCCATTTCACTTGGACCTTGTTGCACCACTCCAGTGCGTGGATCAAAATGTTTTTGATTGGCATCTTTTAGAGTAGTTTTTATTTCTTTAGGTTTTTCTGTGGAAGGAGTGCGCAACGATGATATATGACCTCGTACAGGTTCTCGAGAAACCGAAGAAGAGGGAGATGAAGCTGAATTGTTTTCATCTAGTTCCTCCTGTTAAAAAGAAATTCACATGTATGACTATATATTCCCCACAAATGTTTATTTCAATACCTACCTCATCTTCTTCTGTTATTACCGATGATTCAATCCATTCTTTGATACGCATTTTCTTAGTGTGTCTATCAACATTTGTCTCTATGCCACAATCGGCCAAATTATACAGCAAACGATTTTTTTCATCTGGACTACTGTGAAAGGAATACATAGATGGACATAGTTCATCTGTTTCATATTCGGCCATTTCCTTTTCTGCAGTCTTTGCCAGCCAACGATCATCCAGAAACTTTGTCAAATCGGTGAGATTTTTCGGTCTTTTGTCTGCTCTCGGCTCCAAAAATCTCTTAAACATACGTTGCGCCTTTGATGAAAGTAATTTAAATAACTTTGGTGTACGTCGTATAGCCAACATCATGGTATTCTGCCAGATTAAATAGCGTACATAACGAGGATCATCGGATGCTGCCTTTTGCCAGGGCAAACAACCTGTCAGACATACGAATATAACAATGGCAAATTGCCAAACATCGTGACTAGGATCGGCTCTATAAAAAATGAGAATATTTGTATAAGTACGTTAAGTAAATATCGGAAAAATGTAGATGACCACAAAATTGGTTCCGTTTTCAATTTAAAAATATTTTAATGAAGATAAAAAGTTTGATCTTGAAAGGAAAATAAGTGTGATCATAAAATCGGTCCTTTCTGAATTTAAACAAAGTTACAAGAAATTTTAATTTGGTCAAGTTTTCGACCCTAAAGGCGATTTTTATAGGAAAATAAACTATAATAGATTATAGATTTTAGATCTAAAAAGCGATCGAAAAGGTAGATTTTTGAAGAAACATATGAGTGATCTCAAAAGAAGCTTCTTTTTCATTTTAACGAAGTTACAACACGACCATAATTTGTAAATTTTTGATGGATTATATGTATGGCTGATCACAAAACCAGCTGCATTTTCAATATAAACATCCTTTAACGAAGTATTAAAGGCTTTGTCCGAATATTGACTAGCTTCAAGTCTAACAGAGTCTAACATATTTTCGACAGTCAGAAGACAATTAGGATCATATCAGCTAATAAGCTAAGACGGGCATTGGACTGTAAAAGAACCATAACCGATTACTATTCAAGTGCTAAACTCTTCATCATATGGCAATTAAAGAGCAAAGGTTTTATAAAGGGAACTTAAGGAAGTTAACTTGACGAATCCAAAACTGTTCGACGAGAAGCCTCCTCAGAATGAATAAGTTCGTACGTAATCTTAGTGGACGCCCGGAATTACACGGCACAGCTATAAAACATTTTACGAAGAATTCAGACGGAAGTAGAAGTCACTGGAACGCTGTCCTTGCTAAGCTTTCGTTTAATTTAGATCCAAATATATTGGAAGCCATGTTATTCCGGTAGGTTAGTGTTCTAGTCTGGTAGACCGGAGGTGGTGGGTTCGATTCCCATCTGAGACACTGGTTAAGGAACTCACAACAGGACCGATAGGGGCCTAGGTGTATTTCTTCGGATTTGATGTATATACATCCTCCTTTCAAACTAACTAACTAACTAACTAACTAACTACTACTAACTAACTAACTAACTAACTAACTAACTAACTAACTACTAACTAACTAACTAACTAACTAACTAACTAACTAACTAACTACTAACTAACTAACTAACTAACTAACTAACTAACTAACTAACTAACTAACTACTAACTAACTAACTAACTAACTAACTACTAACTAACTAACTAACTAACTAACTAACTAACTACTAACTAACTAACTAACTAACTAACTAACTAACTAACTAACTACTAACTAACTAACTAACTAACTAACTAACTAACTAACTAACTAACTAACTAACTAACTAACTAACTACTAACTAACTAACTACTAACTACTAACTAACTAACTAACTAACTAACTAACTACTAACTAACTAACTAACTACTACTAACTAACTAACTACTAACTAACTACTAACTAACTAACTAACTAACTAACTAACTAACTAACTAACTAACTAACTAACTAACTAACTACTAACTAACTAACTAACTAACTAACTAACTAACTAACTAACTAACTAACTAACTAACTAACTAACTAACTAACTAACTAACTAACTAACTAACTAACTACTAACTAACTAACTAACTAACTAACTAACTAACTAACTAACTAACTACTAACTAACTAACTAACTACTAACTAACTAACTAACTAACTAACTAACTAACTAACTAACTAACTAACTAACTAACTAACTAACTAACTAACTAACTAACTAACTAACTACTAACTAACTAACTAACTAACTAACTAACTAACTAACTAACTAACTAACTACTAACTAACTAACTAACTAACTAACTAACTAACTAACTAACTAACTAACTAACTAACTAACTAACTAACTAACTAACTAACTACTAACTAACTAACTAACTAACTAACTAACTAACTAACTAACTAACTAACTAACTAACTAACTAACTAACTAACTAACTAACTAACTAACTAACTAACTAACTAACTAACTAACTAACTAACTAACTAACTAACTAACTAACTAACTAACTAACTAACTAACTAACTAACTAACTAACTAACTAACTAACTAACTAACTAACTAACTAACTAACTAACTAACTAACTAACTACTAACTAACTAACTAACTAACTAACTACTAACTAACTAACTAACTAACTAACTAACTAACTAACTAACTACTAACTAACTAACTAACTAACTAACTAACTAACTAACTAACTAACTAACTAACTAACTAACTACTAACTAACTAACTAACTAACTAACTAACTAACTAACTAACTAACTACTAACTAACTAACTAACTACTAACTAACTAACTAACTAACTAACTAACTAACTAACTACTAACTAACTACTAACTAACTAACTACTACTAACTACTAACTAACTAACTAACTAACTAACTAACTAACTAACTAACTAACTAACTAACTAACTAACTAACTACTAACTAACTAACTAACTAACTAACTAACTAACTAACTAACTAACTAACTAACTAACTAACTAACTAACTAACTACTAACTAACTAACTAACTAACTAACTAACTAACTAACTAACTACTAACTAACTAACTAACTAACTAACTACTAACTACTAACTAACTACTAACTAACTAACTAACTAACTAACTAACTACTACTAACTAACTACTAACTAACTAACAACTAACTAACTAAGTAACTAACTAACTAACTAACTTTTCCAAATATTACATCCCTCAGGAAATGTGATTGGTAAATTCTAAAGAACTACTTCCTGGAAACTGAGTTTCTGAACATTGAACAATAGTTCTTTTAAAGTTCGCTATATAAGGATTTTCCACCAACTTTTTTTCCACGAAAAAAATCGCACAACAGGTCTGATAGTGGCTTCGGTGTATATTTCGGATCTGATAAAATAAAATTATTCTTTCAACCAAAGCTAACAAGTTAAAACATCGAATAATTACACAGCCCAACACAGTTTTAAAAAAAGTCGAAACCCCGATACCAAATAATATATTTATAATGATTGAGCTATTCTCTTAGAATTACACCATTACATCAGCTTTTCGGTATATCATGTTCTAAAATTAGAAAAAAAAAAACGTTTTAGGTCATATTTTAGTCGTTATAACAGTGCGAAGACATTTTGATTTAAACATTTAGTTATGTCTCCTAAAAGTCCTATGTATCGACTTTCAAGTAAAGGTTTAAGCTCTGTAATATCTTTTTTCATTTTCTTCATTTGTCGGCAAAAATTTCATCGGATGATACCTCAGCAAATCCAAGAAATTTTTAAACAATTCAAGGCTTAGGTTAAGATATCTCGAAAAACATGATTCAACAGATGTTAAACCTTTATTTGTAAGACGATATATTGAATGACCTATATACTTTTATCAGAACACGATATCTCGAAAATAGATGATACTGTCATAGATAATTACTGATGTCAGATTCGCAATTAGTGAAGCTTAATCCTTTAAAAAACATATGTTGGTAACCACATTAAACATTTATAGGAATGTGTTATTTGTCGCCTTAACCGATTAAAACAAATACCCGAATAATTTAATACCCTAATATATGTCCATGTATACTCACTTATATGTTCCCTCTGGTTTTATATCTAATACTTCTGGTGGACTATAGGGCAGCCATTCATTGCGTCTTTCGACCACCGTACCAGACTGATATGATTCACCGAAATCGCATAGTTTTACACGTGAAAAATCGGAACGATATATCAAAACATTATCCAGTTTAACATCACGATGGACTATGTCTCTATAAAGGGGAACATGAAAATACAAGAACTTTTAAAAATAAGATTAACTGTGAAATATATCACAACGATTAGTCCTACTTTGAATGCATATAATCTAAAGCCGAAGCAATTTGTTTCGCCACACGCTTGCTATAAACTTCACCAACACCGGTATCGGTGACATTTGAAGTAAGATCACCTGAAGTTAAGAGAAAATATATAATACTTTTTAGTTAAAGTAAAAATTAACTTTCCTACTTACCCAGTGGAGCATATTCTTGGGTGAAAACATAAAAGCCGGCTGTTTCAAAGGCCACATCATATGTCGTTACAATATTTCGATGTATGCCCAAATGAAGACCATAATGAAATTCTCTATAAAAGTCTCTTAATGAAACATATGGTTTGGGCACTGCTTTCAAAACCATTTCTGTATGAGAGGCTCGATGTTCGACCAATAATATTTTGCCAAACCATCCTTCGCCAACAATTTGTAATATATCGAATTCATCGACCAAATGTATCTGGAATATATTTATAACACATTAACAAATAATTATTTACAATTATTTAAACATTTTCAAATATTTCATATAAACATTAAAACCAATATCGAAAGAAAAGTTTTATTAATTATGATTTATAACTAAATATAAATACTACATAATTGAGAGAAATAAAAAATAAAACACAATTTGTTTGTTTCTATTTACATTTTCTCTGGTGTTTTGTTGTTATACCCTACACCACTTTAGTGGGGAAGGTATATTGGGTTTGTGCTGATGTTTGTAACGCACAATAATATTGGTCCTATACCCACCTTAAAGTATACCAATCGGCTCAGAATCATTTTCTGAGTCGATTTAGCTATGTCCGTCCGTCTGTCTGTCCGTCTGTCCGTCCGTCCATGTAAACCTTGTAATCAAACTACAGGTCGCAATTTTGAAGATAATTCAATGAAATTTGGTACATGATCTTCTATTGTCCCAGGGACGAAGCCTATTGAAAATGATTAAGATCGGTCCATTATTTCACCTAGCCCCCATACAACTGAACCCCCCAATAGGGCTTGTAATCCTTGTAATCAAACTACAGGTCGCAATTTTGGAGATAATTCAATGAAATTTGGCACATGATCTTTTATGGTACCGTAGATGAAGCCTGTTGAAAATGGTTTACATCGGTCCATTATTTCACCTAGCCCCCATACAACTGAACCCCTCGAATAGGGCTTTTAAAATTTGTAATCAAAATACAGGTCGCAATTTCGGAGGTAAATCAATGAAATTTGGCACATAATCTTTTATGGTATCGTAGACGAAGGCTATTGAAAATGGTTAACATCGGTCCATTATTTCACCTAGTCCCCATACAACTGAACCCCCGAATAGGGCTTTTAAAATTTGTAATCAAACTACAGGTCGCAATTTTGGAGATAATTCAATGAAATTTAACACATGATATTTTATGGTACCGTAGATGAAGCCTGTTGAAAATGGTTTACATCGGTCCATTATACCCCATACAACTGAACCCGCCGAATAGGGATTTTAAGTTCATAATTATGTTTAATATACTCATATCTCGACAAAAAGCTGCAATAACCAAGTTGTATACAAGACTTGATGACCCCCACGAATTCCATAATAATAGGTTCTCATATGACCCAAGCCCCCATCAAAATTTCACTTAAATGTCCACAATTTTATTCAACAATAAACGGCTTAAGTATGTATATCTAAGGCAAGGTACAATTCAACTTAAATGCTTTATTATGGCAACTAAATCACATTATATTTTTGTCAAAGGTGTAGGGTATTATATGGTCGGCCTCGCCAGACTATAATTTCTTACTTGTTTTTTTTTTTTGTATATGGAAAAAACTGCGAAAGAAAATGTGTGGTATTGGCATAAATTTGGCTTTAAGCCAAAACAAATTTTATGTCAAAACATATTGAATATATTTAAAATGAACAAGAATGAAAAAATGAATTTGTTTTTACTTATTTATATGCATTTTTAAATGTATTAAATAAAATTACCTTTATGGTCGGTATTTTTCTCTTATTCATATCAAATCGCACTATATATGCGATAATATAAAAGAACAAGATTTATAACTAAATTATTAGTGAAAGGGTGTGCAAATGAGAAAATTTTTAATTATTTACAATAATAATAAATTTGTTTAAATATTTACCACCTGTTATTGTTTTTTATTCAAATTTTATATAAATATATATGTATAATGATGATTATTTTGATTTGATTGTAATGATTAAATTTTTGTTAACAATCGATTAAGAACAATTAACATTTATTTCCAAAATTATTTAAAATTTTTGGATTGAAATTTCATTTATATGAATACTAGCTATACCCAGTGTGCTTTGTTACCCTAAAAGCAATATAAATAAAAAATCTTCTTAATAATTTTGAAGATTCTAACTGTAATGTTTTCTCAGAGATACATTTTTTCCGAACGTTAATTAAGATTTTAATGTAATCGATGACAAATTAAAAAAAAAATATCTAATATTTTTCCGGATATACGAAATTTTGTAGTTAATTCATATAGGGGGTGCCAAGACCCCATTGAAAGTCCGCCCGTTATTCTGTAAATGTTCACATTAATGTCAAAGATCTTCATGTAGAATTTGAAGATTCTAGCTCTAATAGTTTCTCAGATATACGAATTTTTCTATTTAATTCATATGGGAACTCACAGCCCCCAAATGAAAGTCCGCCCTTTTTTTCTCCAAAATGTTCATATGTATAATAAAGTTCTTCTTGCAATATTTGAAGAATCTTGTTCTATTAGTTTCCCAGATAAGCGAAATTTTGTATTTAATTCATATGTGAGGTGCCAAGCCCCCCATTGAAAGTCCGCCCGTTATTCTCTGAATGTTCACATGAATGTCAAAGTTCTTCAATTAAAATTTGAAGATTCTAGCTCTAATAGTTTCTCAGATATAATAATTTTCCTATTTAATTTATATGGGGACTCCAAGCCCACCATGACGAAAGTCCGCTCTTTTTTTCTCCAAAATATTCAGATGAATATTTAAGTTCTTAGCGCAAAATTTTGATGAATATTTTAGTTCTTAGTGTAAAATTTGAAGAATTTAGTTCAATTAGTTTCCCAGATAAACCAATTTTTGTATTTTATTAATATGGGAGGTGCTGCTCCCCTCATGGGTAGTCCACCAATTTATTTCCCAAAATGTTTACATGAATGTTAAAGTTACTCGTGCAAATTTTTAATATTCTAACTGTAATAGTTTCCAAGATAAACGAATTTTTGTATTTAATTTATATGGGAGGTGCCACGCCCCCTAATGCTAATCCGCCCACTTTTTGTATTAAATAATTATATTGATACTAAAGTTGCTCCGACAAAATTTGAAGACTCTAACATTATATTATCTCAGATATACTAATTTAATATTTTCTTAATATGGGCGTGGCACGTCGCCCACATGATATTTCAACATAAAAAGTAGCCTATAGTTCCTTCCAGACATACAGGAAGAAACTGTGAAAATTTCAGGAAAATCGGTCCAGCCGTTTAGCAGTCTATAAAGCACAAACAAACAAACATACATACAAACACACTTTCATTTTTATATATATAGATGAACCAATTCTTATGAAATTTGCCAGAGAGATTTAGATAGCTAAAAAACTAGTTTAGGTCAATAAAGTACTTTTTTGAAAAGGACTTTATATGGGGATAAGCTTTATTATGGACCGATCTTTATAAAGTTAAGAGGTGAGATATTAGTTCCTATGCAACTTGTTCATATCAATTTCCATTGCTATATAAACAATTATGGACCAATCCTTATAACAGATAGAATGCCAACAAAATTGTTAATTCTTTAAAATATAACTCATTTTCAAAAAAGAATCAATTTTTTAAAAGCTTTGATTGTAATTATTATATTTACGAGTCGATTAAGCTATGTTCGTCTGTCTGTCCATCTGTCTGTTGAAAACACTATAGAGTCCAAACGAGACGAGCTAGAGAGCTGAAATTTTGTACAGATATTTTTAGTTGATGTAGCATGTTTGGTATTGGAAATGGGCAGTATCAGTACACTTTTTCACCTAGGCCCTATATATTGTTCTCTTCAGAAAATGACTATAATGCAATGAAATTTGACATAAACAAGTTTTACTGGAAACAAAATGTTTTATCAAATTTTATGAGGATTGACCCTAACCCCTCTATAATGATCACATCAGAAAATTACTTTATAGTCTATAACTCGCTTGAAAATGCCGGTATAGCAACATAAGCAGGTTTTTTGGGAACAAAAAAGTGGTCGCTTAAGTTTGTAAGGTTAGCACCACAATTGACCCTACCCCAATACATGATTTAAACTGACAGTAAAGCAACAAAATTCGACGTAAACATGTTTTATCGGAACTAAAATTTCTCATTCAAATTTTATAAGGATCGGTCTATAATTGATCCTACCCCCCAAAAAAAATACTATAACGCTCATAACTTGCTTCAAAATGCTAGTTTAGCAACGAAACTCTACATAAACAGGTTTTATGGGAACTAAAATATTATCGCTTAATTTTGTACTGATCGGGCCATAATTGACCCTACGCCCCATCATATAAGGTAACACCATCCCCCACCACCTGAAAATGACTTTAACACTCATAATTTGACACAAAAATCGAGTATAGGAACGAAATTCGACATATACATGTTTTATTGAAACTGAAATTTCTTTGTCAGATTTTATGTAAATCGGTCAATATTTGACCCAATAAGTTTTATGAGAATGATATTTTCTAACCTATTTATCCGATTTTAGTCTTTAATCAATTCCTATGAATTGTAGTTTGACAATATTTTAAAATTTTTTTAAATACCTATATCGAACCCCTTATTTTCTTGGACTATTTCTTGAACCTAAAGCCATAGTAGTATTTTATTTTTTTATACCCTACACCACTATAGTGGGAATGTTTTATGAATTTGTGTTGATGTTTGTAACGCCCAAAAATATTTGTCCTTCGTCCACTTTGAAGTATACCAAACGACTCAGAATTACTTTCTAAGTCGATTTAGCTATATCCGTTTGTCCGTCTGTCTGCTTGTCTTTTGCGTACGTTGCTGGTCGCAATTTTCAAGATAATTTGACACATACCCCCAAGGACGAAGTCTATTGAAAATGGTTAAAATCAGACCATTGTTTCACTTATCCACCATAAAACCATACTCCGCGAATAGGGCTTTTGAGCTTATATTTATGCTATATGATCTAGTACGTCAGCAGAAATCGGCAAAACTTAGTTTTATAATAGTCTAAATGACACTGCCTATTTTAGTAATGATCTGGAATCATTTGACCGTAGCGCCCATACAAACTCTACACAGAGAAAACAGATTCGTTGTGGTAACCGAATTTGTTTCCAATCGAATTTAGTCGGTTCCCACAACTATCCCATAATTCTATTGGGATGACTGAAAAATTCGATTGGCAATATAGAATATATGGAAATCATAATAGTTTCAAAATGAAATTCGGTAATATAAATAGAAACTAACAGTATTACTACTTGAAATATTATTTATTATACACATATTTGTGGATTCTATTTGTATACAATAAAATTTTATAAAATATAAATGTTTACAGATAAAAATAATTATAAAACACTTCTTGCATCAGATTTTGGGATACATTACATGCCTGACCTTTATTTTTGTCGTAAAAAAAGATTTTCCTTTAGTTTTTGCAAAACATTCCTTTGGATGATTTGAATTTCATTGGAGATTTGGATTCCTTGCTTTTATTCCTGCAAACGCATTAAAAATCTTAAAAGCAACTAAGTACAAACTTTATTTTATGTTGAACATTACCTTTTCACCTAAATCCTTTAAAATTAAGCCGCAATTCCGTTTATTTTTTAAAATATTTTTACATAATTCACAATTCTTTTATTTTCTTTAATAATTATTTTTGTGAATGTCAACAATCGGTTGGAAACATCGAATTTATTTATGTTCTTTAACCACAATCGAATTTTTAAGTATTTATAATTGATATTTAGTTGCAATGATGGTATGAAGTTTATTTGACTCAAAATTTTCGCTTTAACAAATTTTTCGGTTACAACTACTAATATTTAGAATTCTTAAGTTTGAATGCTAAATAAAATTCTGCTGTATTTACTGAATTAATAAAAACCATTTTACAAAAGATACAATTCGGTTGAAATTACCAATTCGGAAATTTTTATAGCCATAATTTGATTACAATCATGATGTTTCGGTTCTTAACATAGAAAATCACTCATATTTATAGTTTTTTAATATGAGCAATAGAATTTTAATTAACTTTACCAAATATTTATAATGGAAACCGATTTCCTATCGATCTGTTTTCTGTGTGTATTTCAGAAATGTTCTTGAAGGTCAAAATTCACTTATAAACACTAATAACAGGATGAAATTCTGCATAAATAACTTTAATGTGGACGTAAATTTATCTTATAAGGATATTAACCCTTACCCACCCCATATGAGCCGTGTTGTAAAAAATCTTTTTTTTGTCAAAAAAAAAGTAAAAATATTCCGGAATTAAGGTAAAAAAGGGTATCATATGGTCGGTCATGCCCGACTATACATTCATACTTGTTATTTATGCAAAAAATGTGTGTACTGAAACGAAATCGGAGAGAATAAGGTATGAAATCTGTTCGAAAATTCTTATAACGACTTACTCTTTCAGATCGAACTTAGTACTATTTCAAAATTTCACTTTTCCATACCTGCTATGTAATTTAAATCTAGTAAAATCTTAAATTACAAAGTGTTAACTCACCTTTTCCAATTCGAATTCACGAATTTTATGAATGCTCCCTCGGGGTTTCTTCGACATTTTGTAGGAATCAGCTTAAATATATCATTGGATTTTCCAGAATATTTTGTTATATTGCAGCTTAACAATAATTCTCTGTTTTTTATGAATTCTATGGAAATTGTTTTGTTTGATGTTACAAATAAGTATTTGTTTATTTTGAGTTTATTCTTTATTTTACCAACAATATATTTTACAATGTAAACACAAATACAAAAAGTATGTATGTTTTGTATATTTTTCTTCCAAAATTATAAAATACAACCGTGTTTCAAAATATTTATTTATAAATCAAAACTCACACATGGAAAATTGCAATGAATTACGACACTTTATTTCGGAATAACAAGAAATATTTTTATAAGATTTGAATACAGTAATTAATTTTTAGGAATATTTTTTATAATAGCGATCGAACACCGGCTAGGAAATTTTTGAATTAAACAGTAATTTTTATAATATTATTTACGATTTTGTTTTTATTTTTTAAGTTTTAGTGATATTTTGTTTATTTCCAGCTTTTTGCTTTACATTTTTGCTATATTGAGTTGGTGTATATGGTTGTTGTTTTATTTTAAAATTAATTTTTATTTAAAATTGAATTTTCGTTGTTTTTTTTTTTTTTGCAATATTATTTCTTTTAATTTCTATGATGAATTTTCAACAATAACTTCCTGGAAAATAAAATTAATTTATTATAATTAAAAAATAATTTTTTTCGTAGACTTTTGCATGTACAAAGTATATTAATGGCCCATTTAAAAGTTTGCTGGCATTTAAAATGTGTACATGTCCTTTGTTTTCTTAAAATCAGTTGTTTGTATTATTTTGCTCTTTATTATCGCAAGATATAAAGAAAAGAAGATACAAGCAATAAATGTTGATTTAATGAACAGGGAAGTATTAATAAACAATTAAATACTCATAATTATACGGATTTTTTTGTATATTTTTATTTATTATTGTGATTCCAGGTCTATGACAGACATAAAGATTAATTTATCTTCTTAATGTTCTGACAAATGGTTGGTATTTATAGAAACGCTGATAATATGGTTTATAGCCAGTCCAGCCTATAGTATAGTCTAGTCTGTAGTATAGTCTAGTCTATAGTATAGTCTAGTCTATAGCATAGTCTAGTCTATAGTCTATAGTCTAGTCTATAGTCTGGTCTATAGTCTAGTCTATAGTCTAGACTAGAGTCTAGTCTATAGTCTAGACTAGAGTCTAGTCTATAGTCTAGTCTATAGTCTAGTCTATAGTCTAGTCTATAGTCTAGTCTATAGTCTATAGTCTAGTCTATAGTCTATAGTCTAGTCTATAGTCTAGTCTATAGTCTAGTCTATAGTCTAATCAATAGTCTAGTCTGTAGTCTAGTCTGTAGTCTATAGTCTAGTATATAGTCTAGTCTATAGTCTAGTCTATAGTCTAGTCTATAGTCTAGTCTATAGTCTAGTCTATAGTCTAGTCTATAGTCTAGTCTATAGTCTAGTCTATAGTCTAGTCTATAGTCTAGTCTATAGTCTAGTCTATAGTCTAGTCTATAGTCTAGTCTATAGTCTAGTCTATAGTCTAGTCTATAGTCTAGTCTATAGTCTAGTCTATAGTCTAGTCTATAGTCTAGTCTATAGTCTAGTCTATAGTCTAGTCTATAGTCTAGTCTATAGTCTAGTCTATAGTCTAGTCTATAGTCTAGTCTATAGTCTAGTCTATAGTCTAGTCTATAGTCTAATCAATAGTCTAGTCTGTAGTCTAGTCTATAGTCTAGTATATAGTCTAGTCTATAGTCTAGTCTATAGTCTAGTCTATAGTCTAGTCTATAGTCTAATCAATAGTCTAGTCTGTAGTCTAGTCTATAGTCTAGTATATAGTCTAGTCTATAGTCTAGTCTATAGTCTAGTCTATAGTCTAGTCTATAGTCTAGTCTATAGTCTAGTCTATAGTCTAGTCTATAGTCTAGTCTATAGTCTAGTCTATAGTCTAGTCTATAGTCTAGTCTATAGTCTAGTCTATAGTCTAGTCTATAGTCTAGTCTATAGTCTAGTCTATAGTCTAGTCTATAGTCTAGTCTATAGTCTAGTCTATAGTCTAGTCTATAGTCTAGTCTATAGTCTAGTCTATAGTCTAGTCTATAGTCTGGTCTATAGTCTAGTCTATAGTCTAGTCTATAGTCTAGTCTATAGTCTAGTCTATAGTCTAGTCTATAGTCTAGTCTATAGTCTAGTCTATAGTCTAGTCTATAGTCTAGTCTATAGTCTAGTCTATAGTCTAGTCTATAGTCTAGTCTATAGTCTAGTCTATAGTCTAGTCTATAGTCTAATCAATAGTCTAGTCTGTAGTCTAGTCTATAGTCTAGTATATAGTCTAGTCTATAGTCTAGTCTATAGTCTAGTCTATAGTCTAATCAATAGTCTAATCAATAGTCTAGTCTGTAGTCTAGTCTATAGTCTAGTATATAGTCTAGTCTATAGTCTAGTCTATAGTCTAGTCTATAGTCTAGTCTATAGTCTAGTCTATAGTCTAGTCTATAGTCTAGTCTATAGTCTAGTCTATAGTCTAGTCTATAGTCTAGTCTATAGTCTAGTCTATAGTCTAGTCTATAGTCTAGTCTATAGTCTAGTCTACAGTCTAGTCTATAGTCTAGTCTATAGTCTAGTCTATAGTCTAGTCTATAGTCTAGTCTATAGACTAGTCTATAGTCTAGTCTATAGTCTAGTCTATAGTCTAGTCTATAGTCTAGTCTATAGTCTAGTCTATAGTCTAGTCTATAGTCTAGTCTATAGTCTAGTCCAACGGTTCCCAAAAGGGGGTCCGCGGACCCCTAGTGGTCCGTAGCAAAATCCTAGGGGGTCCGCGAAGACGAAATCATGAATAAAAAATATTCTCTATATGTTAGAAATATCTCAAAATTTTTCATAAATACTAAAATACACAATTTTTATTCAATAATCCCAGATTTGTTGGTGACTTTTTGAATTTTATTGTTTCGGTCGTTTATCAGGATGAAGCTAGGCCCTACAAATTTATTGTTTCACTTTTATAATGTAAAGTATTACGTAATTTGTAATTTTTATAAATGTATATGTATCGAAATAAATTGTTTTATATCAGACGGATAATGATTTGCCTTAGAATTAAATACTGATACTGGTATCCCGGAATATGAAGTTAGGTCACATTTCATAATATTTTTTTAAATTGTAAGCAAAGGTGTTAATCTAGTTAATTTTAAATATAAATATTCCATTCCGACGTGATACACAGATTTTTACTTCATTTTGTTGTCCAATATTATTAAATCAACATCAGAAAATTCATAGCGTTTTGCGTAAATAGTCAAAACCACGTAGTAAAATAATTCGTAGGTATTTTAAAATTCAAATTTAAGATCCAAATTCACAGTACATTCGCAAAGAGTTCAGGTCATATTTTATGTGGGTAACGCATTCCGCAACAACATCGAAGAAGTCTAACTTTCACATATTTTCCCGAAAACTTAGCTTACATACTCAGCTCACTCCTATGCAATCGCAAAAAAATTTAGAAACATGACTCTTTAAGCACATGTCGACAATACTTGATAAAGAAACCTTTTCGCTACCTTGACGAGAAATGAACATGAAAGCTCTCACGATCATAAAATTAAACATCATGTTAGAAGTCATTCTATGTTTAAAACCATGCAATTGAAAACATCTCCGAAATACTAAATATTCTCAATGTACGGGAATATTTTATAGGGTTTATGGACCAGGACTAAGACAATTTTCGGATGAAAAATTATTTATAACAATAAGATATCAAAATATGTATGGGGGTCCGTGAAATTAAATAAATTCCTCAAGGGGTCCGCGAAGTAAAAAACGGTGGGAACCGCTGGTCTAGTCTATAGTCTAGTCTATAGTCTAGTCTATAGTCTAGTCTATAGTCTAGTCTATAGTCTAGTCTATAGTCTAGTCTATAGTCTAGTCTATAGTCTAGTCTATAGTCTAGTCTATAGTCTAGTCTATAGTCTAGTCTATAGTCTAGTCTATAGTCTAGTCTATAGTCTAGTCTATAGTCTAGTCTATAGTCTAGTCTATAGTCTAGTCTATAGTCTAGTCTATAGTCTAGTCTATAGTCTAGTCTATAGTCTAGTCTATAGTCTAGTCTATAGTCTAGTCTATAGTCTAGTCTATAGTCTAGTCTATAGTCTAGTCTATAGTCTAGTCTATAGTCTAGTCTATAGTCTAGTCTATAGTCTAGTCTATAGTCTAGTCTATAGTCTAGTCTATAGTCTAGTCTATAGTCTAGTCTATAGTCTAGTCTATAGTCTAGTCTATAGTTCTATAGTCTAGTCTATAGTCTAGTCTATAGTCTAGTCTATAGTCTAGTCTATAGTCTAGTCTATAGTTCTAGTCTATAGTCTAGTCTATAGTCTAGTCTATAGTCTAGTCTATAGTCTAGTCTATAGTCTAGTCTATAGTCTAGTCTATAGTCTAGTCTATAGTCTAGTCTATAGTCTAGTCTATAGTCTAGTCTATAGTCTAGTCTATAGTGTAGTCTATAGTGTAGTCTATAGTCTAGTCTATAGTCTAGTCTATAGTCTAGTCTATAGTCTAGTCTATAGTCTATAGTCTAGTCTATAGTCTAGTCTAGTCTATAGTCTAGTCTATAGTCTAGTCTATAGTCTAGTCTATAGTCTAGTCTATAGTCTAGTCTATAGTCTAGTCTATAGTCTAGTCTATAGTCTAGTCTATAGTCTAGTCTATAGTCTAGTCCTATAGTCTAGTCTATAGTCTAGTCTATAGTCTAGTCTATAGTCTAGTCTATAGTCTAGTCTATAGTCTAGTCTATAGTCTAGTCTATAGTCCAGTCTATAGTCTAGTCTATAGTCTAGTCTATAGTCTATAATCCAGTCTATAGTCTAGTCTATAGTCTAGTCTGTAGTCTAGTCTATAGTCTAGTCTACAGTCTAGTCTATAGTCTAGTCTATAGTCTAGTCTACAGTCCAGTCTATAGTCTAGTCTATAGTCTAGTCTATAGTCTAGTCTATAGTCTAGTCTATAGTCTAGTCTATAGCCTAGACCATGCTATAATCTAGTCTATACTATGGTCTATGGTCTAGTTTATACTATAGTCTATGGTCTTGTCTATACTATAGTCTAGTCTAAATTCTAGTCTAAATTCTAGTCTATAGTGCCACTGTAGTTTTGGCCTTCAGTCCCAACTATAGTCTTGGGGATACTTAGTGCTGACTATAGTTTGGAGTATTATTGCGACTATAATCTCGCTTTTAGTGTCGTTTATATAGTTTCTACTACATACTTGTCTATAGACTTGGCTGTAGTCCGATCTATGGTTTCATCTCTAAAGTCTCTTCTATGATCTGGAATAAAATACTTTCTATAGTCTTGACCTTAGTCTGAACTATGGTCTCGATTGTAGTCTGGTGTAAAGTCTCCAATAAAATCCGATTTAGGGTCTCGACTATTGACAGGACTGTTGTAAGTTCTATTGACCCGACAGTTTCTACTATGAAATTCTGTTACTATAACAAAATGCATTTCGATTATTAATGGCACACGATAAAAAAATATAATTTGAATTAATTCGATATATTTTTAGTTGTAATACAACAAAAAATAAACCCCAACCCAATTCATTCATAGTTGTTTAATGATTTTTACATGTTTTATTTTTATTTTGTTAACAACAGTAAATACTTTTTTGTAAGATTCGGCGAATATTTTAGTAAAACAACATAAAATTATATACTAAATATTTCGATAATAGAAATTTTGGCACAATTTTTAATAGAAACAAACAGCTTTGCATGAGTGACACACGGTGTGTTAGAAAATACATATAAGTTTAAACAAATGTATTAACAAAATAATGAATAAATAGAAATACAAGAAAAATATAAAATTAAACAATTTAAACAAATGTTATAGAATTAAAACAGGGTAAAATTACAGAAACATTTCAAATATACATTTAAAAATTAAAGTATATTTGTCAAATCTAAACGAATTACATTACTTTAAATTTGTATTATTTTTCTTGTATCGATATTTTACTCTTATTTTTTAGGCATAAAGTTTCAACATTATATTAGTTTTATAAAATTACTAGGGATAATACTAGAACAACTAATTTCTCTTGGTTGAAGAATTTTTGTAACATGAATTCTGATCGGTAATTGTCTTTTGACTAAAATTTAAGTAATTACTAACTGATAATTTCATCCTCCAAATTTTAGCAATAAGGTTAAAGATGATTGTTGATGTCGACAGAAACTGGAGAAATATAGGTTTCTAGTCTATAGCCTAATCTATAGTCTAGTCTATAGTCTAGTCTATAGTCTAGTCTATAGTCTAGTCTATAGTCTAGTCTATAGTCTAGTCTATAGTCTAGTCTATAGTCTAGTCTATAGTCTAGTCTATAGTCTAGTCTATAGTCTAGTCTATAGTCTAGTCTATAGTCTAGTCTATAGTCTAGTCTATAGTCTAGTCTATAGTCTAGTCTATAGTCTAGTCTATAGTCTAGTCTATAGTCTAGTCTATAGTCTAGTCTATAGTCTAGTCTATAGTCTAGTCTATAGTCTAGTCTATAGTCTAGTCTATAGTCTAGTCTATAGTCTAGTCTATAGTCTAGTCTATAGTCTAGTCTATAGTCTAGTCTATAGTCTAGTCTATAGTCTAGTCTATAGTCTAGTCTATAGTCTAGTCTATAGTCTAGTCTATAGTCTAGTCTATAGTCTAGTCTATAGTCTAGTCTATAGTCTAGTCTATAGTCTAGTCTATAGTCTAGTCTCTAGTCTATAGTCTAGTCTATAGTCTAGTCTAAAGTCTAGTCTATAGTCTAGTCTATAGTCTAGTCTATAGTCTAGTCTATAGTAGTCTATAGTCTAGTCTATAGTCTAGTCTATAGTCTAGTCTATAGTCTAGTCTATAGTCTAGTCTATAGTCTAGTCTATAGTCTAGTCTATAGTCTAGTCTATAGTCTAGTCTATAGTCTAGTTTATAGTCTAGTCTATAGTCTAGCTATAGTCTAGTCTATAGTCTAGTCTATAGTCTAGTCTATAGTCTAGTCTATAGTCTAGTCTATAGTCTAGTCTATAGTCTAGTCTATAGTCTAGTCTATAGTCTAGTCTATAGTCTAGTCTATAGTCTAGTCTATAGTCTAGTCTATAGTCTAGTCTATAGTCTAGTCTATAGTCTAGTCTATAGTCTAGTCTATAGTCTAGTCTATAGTCTAGTCTATAGTCTAGTCTATAGTCTAGTCTATAGTCTAGTCTATAGTCTAGTCTATAGTCTAGTCTATAGTCTAGTCTATAGTCTAGTCTATAGTCTAGTCTATAGTCTAGTCTATAGTCTAGTCTAGTCTAGTCTAGTCTATCTATAGTCTAGTCTATAGTCTAGTCTATAGTCTAGTCTATAGTCTAGTCTATAGTCTAGTCTATAGTCTAGTCTTCTAGTCTATAGTCTAGTCTATAGTCTAGTCTATAGTCTAGTCTATAGTCTAGTCTAGTCATCTAGTCTAGTCTATTAGTCTAGTCTATTAGTCTAGTCTATAGTCTAGTCTATAGTCTAGTCTATAGTCTAGTCTATAAGTCTAGTCTATATGTCTAGTCTATAGTCTAGTCTATAGTCTAGTCTATAGTCTAGTCTATAGTCTAGTCTAGAGTCTAGTCTATAGTCTAGTCTATAGTCTAGTCTATAGTCTAGTCTATAGTCTAGTCTATAGTCTAGTCTATAGTCTAGTCTATTCTAGTCTATAGTCTAGTCTATAGTCTAGTCTATAGTCTAGTCTATAGTCTAGTCTATAGTCTAGTCTATAGTCTAGTCTATAGTCTAGTCTATAGTCTAGTCTATAGTCTAGTCTATAGTCTAGTCTATCCGTCTAGTCTAGTCTATAGTCTAGTCTATAGTCTAGCTATAGTCTAGTCTATAGTCTAGTCTATAGTCTAGTCTATAGTCTAGTCTATAGTCTAGTCTATAGTCTAGTCTATTAGTCTAGTCTATAGTCTAGGTCTATAGTCTAGTCTATAGTCTAGTCTATAGTCTAGTCTATAGTCTAGTCTATAGTCTAGTTATAGTCTAGTCTATAGTCTATCTATAGTCTAGTCTATAGTCTAGTCTATAGTCTAGTCTATAGTCCTAGTCTATAGTCTAGTCTATAGTCTAGTCTATAGTCTAGTCTATAGTCTAGTCCTATAGTCTAGTCTATAGTCTAGTCTATAGTCTAGTCTATAGTCTAGTCTATAGTCTAGTCCTATAGTCTAGTCTATAGTCTAGTCTATAGTCTAGTCTATAGTCTAGTCTATAGTCTAGTCTATAGTCTAAGTCTATAGTCTAGTCTATAGTCTAGTCTATAGTCTAGTCTATGTCTAGTCTATAGTCTAGTCTATAGTCTAGTCTATAGTCTAGTCTATAGTCTAGTCTATAGTCTAGTCTATAGTCTAGTCTATAGTTAGTCTATAGTCTAGTCTATAGTCTAGTCTGTAGTCTAGTCTATAGTCTAGTCTATAGTCTAGTCTATAGTCTAGTCTATAGTCTAGTCTATAGTCTAGTCTATAGTCTAGTCTATAGTCTAGTCTATAGTCTAGTCTATAGTCTAGTCTATAGTCTAGTCTATAGTCTAGTCTATAGTCTAGTCTATAGTCTAGTCTATAGTCTAGTCTATAGTCTAGTCTATAGTCTAGTCTATAGTCTAGTCTATAGTCTAGTCTATAGTCTAGTCTATAGTCTAGTCTATAGTTAGTCTATAGTCTAGTCTATAGTCTAGTCTATAGTCTAGTCTATAGTCTAGTCTATAGTCTAGTCTATAGTCTAGTCTATAGTCTAGTCTATAGTCTAGTCTATAGTCTAGTCTATAGTCTAGTCTATAGTCTAGTCTATAGTCTAGTCTATAGTCTAGTCTATAGTCTAGTCTATAGTCTACTCTATAGTCTAGTCTATAGTCTAGTCTATAGTCTAGTCTATAGTCTAGTCTATAGTCTAGTCTATAGTCTAGTCTATAGTCTAGTCTATAGTCTAGTCTAGTCTATAGTCTAGTCTATAGTCTAGTCTATAGTCTAGTCTATAGTCTAGTCTATAGTCTAGTCTATAGTCTAGTCTATAGTCTAGTCTATAGTCTAGTCTATAGTCTAGTCTATAGTCTAGTCTATAGTCTAGTCTATAGTCTAGTCTATAGTCTAGTCTATAGTCTAGTCTATAGTCTAGTCTATAGTCTAGTCTATAGTCTAGTCTATAGTCTAGTCTATAGTCTAGTCTATAGTCTAGTCTATAGTCTAGTCTAGTCTAGTCTATAGTCTAGTCTATAGTCTAGTCTATAGTCTAGTCTATAGTCTAGTCTATAGTCTAGTCTATAGTCTAGTCTATAGTCTAGTCTATAGTCTAGTCTATAGTCTAGTCTATAGTCTAGTCTATAGTCTAGTCTATAGTCCACTCTATATTCTAGTGTATAGTCTAGTCTATAGTCTAGTCTATAGTCTAGTCTATAGTCTTGTCTATTGTCTAGTCTATATACTAGTCTATAGTATAACATATTTTGTTCAGTAGCTATGAAAACCTATTTAGGAACATTTACCGATCCAGGACCGTCCTTTAACATAGTATAATTCCTTATATCGTTCAAGCACTTTTCCGAAATTAAATTTAAATGTACAGCACATGCTTCCTTGTTATTGTATATCTTTGTTAGACATTTTGTTAAACTTTATATAAGTTTTTGATCACCGGAAATCCGGGCACATGACATAATTTTAGTAAATTTTTAAATAAATAATTGTAATTTTTAATTTGTCCGGTTTATGTTGTAGTTACTGTTGTGGGGTTTCATTGTATTATACATACATTAGTATATATGTATGTATATATATGTATGTATGTATTACCATGTCACTGTCGGCATTCTTAAAAACAATATAGCACATATATACCACCCTGTTCACAATAATTTCGAAATAAAAAAAAAGTAAAATCCGCAAATTTGTAGTTTTTGTTATTTTTGTTTGCTTTATATTTGCTTTCATACGAAACAAAAAAATTCCTTCTTTATGAACAATTTTCTGTTTGAGACACAAAATAGAAAAAAAAAATTCTTATATAAAAGACACACTATGTATATAGAAATTATGAATGATTTCAAAATTTCTACAAATATGCGGATTAATTAAATACACAACCGAACTAATAATTCACTTTGATATTTGTGTTAATTTAATTACGTTGTTTAAGAAAGAAACAAAAAAAAAAAAAAACTTTCAAATCCTTTTGTGTGTTTTCGGGAAATTTTTGTAAAATGTTTCTTTATAAATATTTCTAATTAAAAATATATTATTTTTAATCGCATTTTCATTATATTTTTTTCACTTATGATTTTGTTTTTGCTTTACTATAAGTAGTGGTGGTGGGCTATTTTTAAAATGCAATTTCAGGCACTCAGAATGCGTAGTTTTACCGAGCAGACAAATTTCATTTTATTTTTTCAGACCGAACCGTAGGAGAATCTAAAGAAAACTGATGTAGAAATGGAAAAAGATTTCGAAAATTGTTGGCTGAAATTTTTCGTGTTTTCCTCTCACGATATATAACCCAACGAAAGTTTTGATATTTGAAGAGAAGATAGTAAAAGAAAGAGAATATATATGGAACTAGTGCTGTGACTGGTTACTTGGCGGTAGTATAAGCATATAGTTCTAATATTTTATATTAGATCATATCGCTAAATGAAGATACATATCTTTATCTGATCTTATAGTTCTATATCCATAATTTATTTGAAAAACAAACCACTTTTGTTCCCCTTCATGAAACATTTTGCTGGGTTAAACAATTTAAAAAAATGTTTTCATTTTCCATTTGCATAGAGAAGTATTTTCTTTATAAATTTCGAAATGATCGCATTTGACATAAACAATTATAGCTCTCGCTCATTTTCTCAAAACATTTTTTTCGATTTTAGGGAATTTTGATTTCATTTTGTTACTCATAAAACGCCGCAAAGAAAAACACACTTCTTTTATTAGCCTTTAGCAACCATTTTCGGTTTATTTTCTTTGTATTTAAGGAAAATGATTTTCATTTAATTATTTTCTTTTGGTTTTTTTTTTTTTTTTAATAAAAAAATTTTATATTTTTTTGTTAGCAGACATACTGCTAGACACAATCGTCATCGACAACAATCGGTGCCACATGGAAAGAAATGAATGTGTTGAAATTTATATGAAAAATATTAAATAAATAAATTTAACAATAAATTGTACTTTGAATGTTGTTAAAACGATTTTAATGAAATTTAATAATAATGGAAACAAGTATTGTAATTTAAATTTCAAATTTGTTAAAATATATAGACAATTTTATAAAAAGGGGTAATCGTTCGAGGTCACGATTTAATATAAAGTGCAAATCCTTTTGGATTATTCAGTAGATATTAAAACTATTATTTTAATACCCACCTTCAGTATTGTTTCTAAATCGATCGAAATAGTAGTCATAGGACCACAAAAGATTCTAATACGTTCTTGTTATGCCAATTCTTCTGTTTACTGTTGCCAGATTTCAGATTTCAGTCCTCATCCCCAAATTATTATATTTAATCCCCAATTACACAAGGTTTAGGTTTATAGGAGGACGTATAATACATCAAATCCGAAGAAATACACCTAGGCCACCAGTTGTGGAAGAAAAATGTTTGTTGGTGTCTTTCACTGTTCAGAAACTCAGTTTCCTGAACGTAATTCCTAAGAATTTTCCAATCAGTGTTCGCGAGGAATATTATATCCGGAATAATATCACTCCCAAGATATTTGGATATAATTTTGAGGAATGCCTGACAATGGCAAAGAAAAAGCTCAAGTGTTTCACTGTCCTCTCCTCATGCTCAACATTCATCTGAATCCTTATGTCCAATTCTTTATAACTATGCCCGTAATCCTGTGTGTCCATTCAGAATACGTAGCATTATACTAACCTCAAATTCGCTTATTTTGACGAGATTTCTCGTCCTGCTCTCATTAGGTTCACCCCATAGGATCTTTGTGATTCTACACAACGTTTCATTATTCCAAGAGGCCATATGGATTCACTCATCCATATTTTTAATCCAGCCTTCGTTGTGTGGAATGATTTTGCGTTCGTTAACTATCTCGAGCTCTCATCCCTTTAAAGCTAATACATTCGCTCTTTCTTTGCCGACTATCCTCAAGTGGCCTGGTACTATCCAATATGGTCTTAGATTTAACAAAGTTCCCGACATATTTTGTGTCTGGTATGAGATCGGGCACGTCTGATGGTTGTGTGTAGCCGTTTAATGTATCCAGTATACATTGATGACGTGTCCTATAACCGCTTTTGGTCAATTCGCCTAAAGTTATGAGCCGTTTGGCTGTAAGTGCCGCCTCATATCTTATATATGTTTCAATGGGTGTAAAATCTAGTATCGTTTTTAGAGCCTTGATTGAAGTAGTGCTCATGGCACCAAATATGAATATTCAAGTAGCATGTACGCTGAACTGCATGTAGTAGCTTGATATTACACTTTTTTCCAAAGAAGTCCACCAGATTATTGAAGCATAACATAGAATTGGTTTAGAAAAATTTATATATTTTGACTCCTTATTAGATACTTAGACGATCTTGCCATTGTCCACACGTCTGTTTGCCGAGAGCACGATAATGCCCATATTGTAGGTGGTAAATGGTAAAAAATTTCCATAAATATTTGGTATTGTTTGGCAATGAAATGGGAGAATATCAGTCCAAAGTTTCCGCCTAACCGTGTGACCACAAAACCCAATAAACTCCTATTACTGCACATTATTACTGTATCTCCGAATCTGACAGCACTATTTCTGTTTGTCAGTTGTTAAAAGCCAGACCGCCGATATTCTTTTCGAGTAATTTTGGTTTGGTATTGAATGTGGAAAATATCGGTACATTTTGTCAACGATTTAATATTTCAAACTATCCACGATAATTACTCTGTATGCAACAAGAAAAAGCCCTCAAAGCGAGGAGGTAAACACTAACTCATAAGAACTTAGTTTAGCTGTCTCCTTCATAATTGGCCATTGGAAGTTTATATATGTATCAGAATAAGTTCGGTGCTGTTGCCGACACAACAGATTCTACGCAGAGGAGTGACTGTGGGACTAATTGTTGGAAATGAGTTGGTGTTAAGGGCCTCATCCCTATACCTAGAGTGAAAATGTCAGATATTATTATTAATGAAAATGTCGGATAAATGAGAAATGAAATGGAGATGAATGTAAGGTATCCATTGAATTCCCCTTCCATGTCACTTTTCATACTAGACTTGCCACAGCGTGTTTTCTCTGAGTAAGAACTTGCCTTTGGTTTATTTGAAAGTTTCGATCCACCGATTACTTCTCTAGGTTCTGTTACCGAATTAACCGAGGCCATCTCATCTGCGTAGTTGTAAACGGAACTGATTTTTTTTATCTCGGAAGTTACTCAACGGGGCGGCAATGAACAGAGATTATATAGCTCGAGTTCTAGATCAAAGTGTTTGTACATGGACCAGCTGAACCATGTACAAAAGTTGCCACCAGCGTGTGAGTTAGGCACACAAAGGGACAGTTGTGAGTCGTCTAAAAGCTCATCTTGTGGTTGTAAGGTACCACCTTACCACAAATTTCCTTGTCACTGCATGTTCATGGTTTACTCTTTTCATACCAGACTTGCCACAGTGTGTTTTCTCTGAGCAAGAACTTGCCTTTGGTTTATTAGAAAGTTTCGGTCCGCCGATTACTTCTCTAGGTTCTGTTACCAAATCAACCGAAGCCATCTCATCTGCGTAGTTGTAAACGGAACTTATTTTTTTGCATCTCGGAAGTTACTCAACGTGGCGGCAATGGTCAGAGATTAGATAGCACGAGTTCTAGAGCAAAGTGTTTGTACATGGACCAGCAGAATCATGTACAAAAGTTGCCAGCAGCGTGTGAGTTAGGTACAGAAAGGGACAGTTGTGAGTCGTCTAAAAGCTCATCTTGTGGTTGTAAGGTACCACCGTGAAATAAGGCCGCTATGTCAAGTGTTCACGTAAAGCACTTCGACTTACTATGTTTTCTTCATACCAACCAAAATTTTTGTTTGGTATTTTGCAATAATGAAACTGAGATTATTACTTCTGGACCCACTCCCTCCAGTGGGTAAATAATGTACTTCCTCAGAAAAATTTTACAACCGTTAGATATTTTACTTTTTTTCGCAATTCACCCATTGAATACTGGTTCATATACATACACATACATTTTTGTACTTAAATATCCATTAAATTTTAAAATTGTTATTGCTATTTAACTGGCATGGGGGTAATGATTACACAAAGTAATTAATTACAAGGTCAATTACAATTACTTGTAATGTGTAATTGAAAAATAAACAATCACAATTACTTGTAATTGTAATTAAATGTTTTCCAATTACAATTACTTGTAATGTGTAATTGACAAATAACTAATTAAAACTATTTGTAATTGTAATTGAAGTTTTGCCAATTACAATTACTTGTATTTGTAATTGAAATTTTCAATTACAATTACTTGTAACTGTAATTTAGGTATTACTAATTACAAATTACATGTAATTATAAGGAACAAAATTCACAATTACAAATAATTGTAATTGGAATTTCTTCAATTACAATTACAAGTAATTGTAAGTGGCTAAACTTCAATTACAATTACAAGTAATTGTAATTGGCAAAACTTCAATAACAATTACAAGTAATTGTAATTGGCAAAACTTCAATAACAATTAGAAATAATTGTAATTAGCAAAACTTCAATTACAATTACATGTAATTGTAATTGGTAATGCTTCAATTACAATTACTTAAAATGTAATTGTAACTATTTAACAATCAAATTACTTTAACAACAACCCAATAGTATTCTCTTAACATTAAAAGCTAAATTTTATAATTTCTGTTAAATGCCACACAATTCAATGTTAATTAACATATTTTAAAAGCTTTAAGCTTTTTCCACCAACAATACTGTTGTGACAAAAACAAATAAACACGATTTTCAAATATTATTTATGTAGCAGTTTACAATTGTTCTTGTGCTACATACATACAATAGCACCTGTTAGACAACTTTGTATAAACTTCAGACCTCCTCTTTGCCATGGCGCATGCGTTACAAGCCACTTGATTTCCTATTAAACATTTTTTTCTAATGTTGCACATTCTTCTTATGACACTTTGTGGCGGAAAAATGGGTATAAAAAGCCTTGTCCTTCTGTGAAAATTCACATTCGTTTAACAGTTACCGTTGTTTTAAAAACATTTTCTTTTAAATAGAAAAAATTTTAAAATTAACTAAACAAAAGTTTCTTTTGAAAAAAGTAATATTAGTTTTAACTTGGTGTTAACGTTTTTTTGTTTAGAAAATTAGAATTTAAAAAAATAATAAAATTGTTGTTTAGTTAATTGTTTCTACTCCATCCACAATTTGTTATACTCAATGTGCAATATTTTGAGATTTATTCGCATTTTATATAGTTTTTAAAGTTGCAATTTTAAAGTAAATTTAAAAAAAAAAAACGTGCTACAAAAGAAGAAAATTATAAAAGTGTAACTACGAACTGAGTATGATTTGGGAATAGTATTTAATTATTTTTGAAATTTCAAGGTAAACTAAATTGCAAATTTATATTTATAGTTATCGTAAAATTTTAATTTATAAATTTACATAAAAAATTTCAATGTTGTTTTTTGACCCTTTTTATGAAAAGGTTTAAAAATTGATACAGTTTTTATTAAAAAGTAACTATTTTTGTTATAAATTCTAAAGGAACAGAACTTAAATAACGAAATTAATTGTTTGTTGAAATTATTAACTATTTATAGGCATATTTTCGATATTTCTACTTTTTAATCTCAAATAAATATAAAAATGGTTTCCTTTCTCGAAAATGTTGTTATTTTTCATCAAATTAACTTATAGAAAAGGCCTGAATGGTATAATCTAAAAGCTGAATCGGAGGTCCTACTATTTTCAGTTATCTAAACGTTTTTCCAAAAAAATTTCAGTATTCGTGAGGAATATTATATTCGGAATAATATCACTCCCAAAATAGTTGGTTCCAATTTCGGTTAAAGCCTGACAATGACAAAGAAAGTGTTCCAAAGTTTAACTGTCTTCTCTGCATGCTCTACATTCGTTTGGATCTGCACATCCAATTTTGTATAGCTGTGCCCATAATCCGGTATGTCCACTTTAAATACGTACCATCATACTAACCTCAGGCTTTTCGTCCAGCTCTCGTTAGGTTCATCCCTTAGAATTTCTGTGGTTGTACCCACCGTTTCATTATTCCAAGAGGCCTTATGGGTTTCTCTAAACCACATCTTAAGTCTGCCCTCATAGCGTCAAATGATTTTGCGTTCGTCAGGTTAACTATCTCGAGCTCCCTTCCCTTTAAAGTTATTTCATTTGCTCTTTCGTTGCCGACTACTCCCGAGTCGGCCTGATAGCCATATAATGTAAACCTTACCTCTGGGGACAGTATTCGGTTAGACCTTTTTAACAATCAAATACGGTCTATATCATCAGATGTCGCCCTAATTGCCATCTGGCTGTCAGTAAATACATATGTTGAGCCCTATGGGCGCCATATTTATTCTAATCCAATTTACGGATTCCCTATTTACTGATTCTTTTATTGCTCGGACTTCTGCCTGGAAGCTAGTATTGTGATTAGTTCAGTTTCTGGGTCTTCAACATAGAACCTCAGGCCCATCCACGTAGCGGTAGTGACCAAGATCAGTGTTTCAAGTTTCCGACATATTTTGTTTTTGGTATGCGATCGGACACGTTCGATGATTGTGTATAGCCTTCCACATTGTATCCCGTATGTATTGATGACGTGTCCTATAACCACTTTTGTCAATTTGCTTAAAGTTCGAGCCGTTCGGTTATATTATATTATATATATTATATACGTTTCAATGGGTGAAATATATAACAACGTTTCCAGAGCCTTGGATGGCACCACTTACACCCAAGCAGCATGTACGCTGAACTCCCTATAGTAGTTTGATATTACAAGTTTTGTCCAAGAAGCTTTCCAATGTATCCCGTATGTATTGACGACGTGTCTTACAACCGATTTTGCGGCTACCGCTTATGAGGCTACAGCCTCATATCTTATATATCATAACTTCAGGCGAACTTGCTAAAGTGGTTATAGGACACGTAATCAATTGGTTCGTTTATAAGTGGGTTTAACGAACGAATATTGCTCTATAGAGAATATTTATTGATCCTTCTGTCCGGACCCTAACATGTCTTTAACAAAATACGGGTCTTCATTATATATTTTTCCTAAGTTTCATTCATTATATATTTTTCCAAAGTTTAGATGTATATTTTCTATTACATACACAGAGGAAAAAAAAAATGTTATGTACATCCGTTGTCTAAAAGTTAACGTGTTGCATTGTTGACAACGTTGCGTGGTCAACATTACATGTTGTTGTATGTATGTATATAGTTGACAATGGATGTATATAGGCTAGACTATAGACAGACCAGAAAATAGAGTATAATATCTCGTTAGTCTTTATCACGGATCGAACTTAGCAAGTCATATAAAATAAAATAAGTCACAAAAGTACATGGGCCAAAATAGAAAAAGATTCTGCAACAGAGTCGGAGCCAAAGTATGGCGGACATATCTCCTTGTATATAAATGAAATATAACATAATCGACTTTTCTGTCAAGCAAAATCGCTCTGCCAAATGGTATAAAGATCGTTTCATAATTGTCCCTATATAAGGTCCATTACAGAAAATGACTAACGCTTGTTAAAAAAGCCAGTCTAACGATGAAATTTTTTCACTATCATGTTTTATATTAATCACAATCTGAAAATTACTTTAAACTGCCAGTTGAAATTCGACACAAAATAAATAGGTTTTTTAGGAACCAAAACCTATATTTATGAAATCTAATTTTATGAAGATCGGTCGTCCAATATAAATCTCTTACAGAAAATCAGTTTATAGCTAATAAATCATTCCTAAAGTTTACCATTAGAATTATGGTAGAATTAAAGAAATAATTACTGCTTTAAGATATCGTTACCAAATTAAGCCAAAATAGCGATAACGCTAAAATACCAATACCAAAATAAGTCAAAATACCGATACCGTCACCTTACCAACGTTTTGAAACGGTTGCCAACCCTGCTCCATATAAATCAGTCTCGAAGGAATTAATTTTACTAAAACTTAAAATCCTTCAGGCTACCTTAATATTTAACAATTAGAAAAGTATAGTCGGGCATGGGACCTACACCATGGGTATATTTAAAAAAATATATTTATTTTTCATAAAAAATTTGTTCAATTTTACCTTAATTTCTAAAAGAGGCTTTATATAGGAGTGGGGTCAAATATGGGCCGATCCTCAAAAAATATGTAAGAGTTATGTAATTTTATATAAAAGTTAATTGTGCTGAATTTTATCGCGATACTAATGGTTATAAGTAAATTTTAAAAGGGGGGTTTGTATGGGGTCTAGGGTCAAACGACGGCCGATCATTATAATTTATGCTTATATAAAACTTAGTTGTGCCAATTTGTGGTAAGATAGTAGTATATTTTGACATAGTTATGATTTAAAAACCCAAAATCGAAAGGTCAGGTTGTATGGGGGCTAGGTGAAATAATAAACCGATTTCAACCATTTGTAATAAGCATCGTCCCTGTGCCGAAAAACTCCAAATTTTATCCAAATATCTTGAAAATTGTGGCATGTAGCTTGCCAGCCAGCCGGACAGACGGACGGACCTGTCTTAATCGACTCAGGAATGATTCTGAGTCGATCAGTATACTTTAAGGTGGGTGTAGGACCAATATTTTTATGCGTTACAAACATCACCACATCACCCACTATAGTGGTGTAGGGTATAAAAATGTATCAATATTATTAGTTACAGTTAAAGATGATTAGTAATATATACCTTTCATTTTCTAACCTTGAAAAACAAAACAATTGAAATTGAGACTCTGTTGTGGTAACAAAAAAATTGATCTACTTTATAAAGCCCGCGTTTAAAATAGATTTTAAAGTTTTTGCATCACTTTAGTTTCATTCTGTTAAATAATATACATACTTTGCCATGTAAAGTACATGTAAACATGTACAAATGTACATATGTATGTCTGTCAGTCTGTCTGTAAGTGGCAAAACACAATTTCGTTATTTTTTAATTATTGCCTTATTTTCTGTACTAAAATGTTTTAACAGCATTTTCATTATTAAATTAACAAAGTTCAAAAGATTTTTAAATGTAATCAAATTGTCGATATTTTATAAAGATTTTTTTTTTCAATTTGGCGCTTATTAAAATTCAATTTTTTTTTTATCCTCATAACTAGACAACAATTACAACAGCGCAACTATGTATGTATGTAATGAAAAGGTCCATTATTGGTATTTGTTAGATACTATATACAACATAGTTATTTACATTTATCTATGAAAAAAAAAAAGATTTAAAAGAAAAACGTTAATTTCTTTAAACAAAATTTTTTTTATAAAACGATTTTGTTTCAATTTACATTACTGTATTAAAAAACTTGTATCTAGATTCTAGATTTTTTGCTAAATAATATGTATTTATGCTGTGATATGCAAACTTTACTTTATTATGTATGACGAAGTACTTACTACTTCTATTATAAAATAGTACATTCATTAAACAAAGTATGATGCTTCAGATAGAATAAAACAACAACAACCAATGGCAAAATTATAAAAAAAAACCTATACAAAAAGCATTAACAACAACAAAAGCTAATAACTACTCGATGTATGTATGTATATATGTACGTTGTAAGCAGTAAGTATCTGTGTTGTCCAGTGTATCTGTTGGATTTGACAGTGGTGTTGCGTTTGTTGTATCCACACTGTTGGTTTGTTAAATCAGTTGATTACGGTGAGAAGAACGAACAAGATGTTTAAATAGCGTTAATAAAATACGAGCGGATGAAAGAAAAACAAGTGTTTCAAATATTTTTTTAATAATATTGAAATAAACATAATATATGCATAATTATTATTCAAAAATAAAAAAATAATAATAAAAATCTAAACAGTGAAAAAATGTCAAATAAAAATGTTTATACTAGTGTTAAGACCGAGCCAGGTAAAATAAATTAAAAATTTTGAAAACAAAACCAATTTTTAAAGAAAGGTTGACAAACTTTTAAAAATTTATATAAATAAAAATAATGATAATAATAATAAACTAGTGGAGATTAATGAAAAAAATTTAAATACTTTCAAAAAAATATCTTTAATTATATACTTATTTTTCGATTCTGTGATATCATGGCTTTTGAGAAGGTTTTTGAATAAGCAACGGATATTATTGCAATTATTTCATTCAAATTCTAACAACTTCACCTACATTTCGGGGACCACTGAATTTGAACGACATTTTTTATAGAGCTTATATGCATGTATTTCAAAGCCTAATATGATTTGGATACGCTAGGGGCAATTATGAACCGAACTCTTAAGAACTCGAGAGTTTAATTAATTTCTGTTGAATATCTCTTAATTTTTTTTTAAAGATTTACTAAAGTGATTTTCTCTAAAAGGAGTGGAAAGGGTCAATTATGAACCGATCCTTTTGGTAAAAAACTTGTTCATGTAAAATGTTATTATTCTACTTCAAAATTTTAAGCCATTTAAGAACTTAAAAGTCATATTCCGAAGGGAATCTAGGAGGCTAAGGTTAAATGTGAACCGATTTTTGTATTTTAATACCAAAATAACTGCAGCAATATGAAATATTTGAGGAAAATTTCAGCTCATTAGCTGTTTGTAACTAATATATAGACGGACGAACAAAATGTGAACCGATTTCGTCCATTTTCAATACCAATCAAACTGCAGCAATATAAAATGTTAGAATCAAATAAGGACCCAGAATATATGTATAAGAGCAACTTCTTGTCAAATGATCAAACTCAAAAAATCGATTTGGATGAAATTTGCATCAAGGTTAGTAGTATTGGATAGTAGGCCAGACACACATTTTCAGCTCTATCGGCCAAGAACTGGCGGGGTTAGAGAGGGGTTCAAAGTTCGACATTTTTATCATACAGGGTTTTTTTTTTCAAATTAGTGTAACTTTTCACCTATTCATCCTAGCAATTTCTTCGAAATCGGAAAACATCGATTTTAAAAGTTGGGTCAATTGACACGTAATTGCCCATATGTATATATGGAGTTTTGTGGGTCTACGACGAATATTTGTAAGTGTCTTTTTTGGTGAAAGGTATATTGATGAAATAGTGTTAAAATGTTTAATTTGTCAAGATCCGATAATAATGTTAATTTGAGGGTTAATAATTTAACTCATGTGGTTTTCTAAAGTTCATAATATGAAAATTAAAAACATCACAACATTTAAAGGGTTAATTCCATCGGAAAACAACTACAACCGAATTGACAATTATGGAATTTTTTGTTTCTAGCAATAGATATTTAGTTAAACCAATAAATATTTGCAAGAATAAACTTGCGTTGATGTCTGTAACGCATAAATATATTGATCTCACATACAAAGTATACCAGTCGATTCAGCATCACTTCTTGAGTCAATATTATACCTTGTAATTGAACAGCAGTAAGTTATATATAATCAAGACTAGTTCACAGACTGGTCAATAGACTAGTCCATATATTATTCTATTGACTTCTCCATATACCAATTCATAGTGTAGTCTATAGACTAGTCCATACTATAGTTGAAGGACTATAAACATGAAATTAAGCATGTAGAAGATTGGAATTTTTGTACTTTTTGAATTTTCTATAATATGGGCCTAGAAACATGAAATTAAGCATGCAGAGACCGGAGTAAGTAAGACCATATATAAAGGAGGGCTTTTTGGTACTTTTTCGTTCTTCAAAAGGTACATTTTAAATTTTCTATAATTTTGAACCTAGAAACATGAAATTAAGCATGTAGAACTTGGAGTGAGTCGTTTTGGTACTTTTTCGTACTTCAAAATGTATTTTTTTGAATTTTCTATAATATTGGACCTAGAAACATGAAATTAAGCATATAGATCCCGGAGTAAGTGGACTTTTTGGCCTAAAATTTCTAATTTAATGAAAAGTTACCTTCTACATAATTAAGACTAGTACATAGACTGGTTAATAGACTAGTCCGTCTGTCTATAAAAATAATGTTAATTGAGAATAAAAATAATGATTCGAAATCTTTGGTACTAAAATCTGACACAATCTTTCCTCGTTTACAAATAAAATAAGTGCTATCTCCCATAGAATCAGAGTAATGGTAAGAAATGTTTGGTATTAAAATTTAACCCAATCTGTCCTCGTTTATCATATATCTATATATATGGTTATGTAGATCCACTAAGGAGTGATTTTTGGGAATTTGTACATTTAGGGGTAAAAAGGGAAAAAACGGGTAAAACAGGGTTTCTTAATTATCTTACACAATATTAGTGATACAAGAAAAAAAATTAATTCACCTGTATCTACTTTTAAAATGAGCTGATAGGTATCTGGCACCTTTTTGAAATTCGTACTTTTAAGGGGTGAAAATATGTAACAACGGTGATTTTGGTACCTTTTTTTGGCCCTTTATAACTTTTAAGTAATATTTTGGAAATATCTACAAAATTATCAGACACTTTGTTCTTTTTTTAAATTCAGTCCTTTTTGGATGTAAAAGGGAGAAAACTGTATTTTTGGTACTTTTTTTAGAACATTAGGAAAACTTTTTCGACTTATTGACGTATACCTATTAAATTACATACTAACTCTGTAATATTTATTGAAACAAAATATTTGCTATTTCACTGGGAAAAAAAGTACCAACAAAGGGAAAAACGGGAAATTTAATTTAATCAAACTCATTGAGCCAATTTTTATAAATTTTTAAAAAATAGTTATTTACTCACACAAAATATGCTATAGGGACCAAATTCGGGTAAATTGTTTGGTACTTTTTGAAAGCACAATTTTTCTGGAACAAAAGTATGCAGTTTTGAATCGTTTGAGTTTTATCTGTGATGTATAGATTTAAACACGGAATATTTAGTAAACTTAATTCTCGAAAAAGTCTATTCCTAGACGAAAAGCGGGAAAATTGTACTCTTTTTATTATTACTTTCCACAAAGGTAGAATTTGTTCCACTTTTGGTACTTTTTCTTTCTTTACATGATACTCTTTGTATGTTATATAATATGAATCTAAAACACATGATTATTAAACATACATGGTCCTTTATTCTTTAAGAAAGAACTTTTTAGTACTTTTTTTCTCTCAAATGGTACTTTTTGAATTTTCTAAAATATTCAACCAATAAGCATAAAATTGAACATACATGGTCCAGAACTTTTTAGTACATTTTACTCTCAAATGGTACTTTTTGAATTTTCTAAAATATTCAACCAAGAAACATAAATTTGAACATGCATGGTCCCGACTGAATAATAATCTGTAAGTGGAGAACCTCTGGTACTTTTCAATTCTTCAAAAGGTATCTTTTGGATTTTAATTTGACCAATATTATGCAAATTAAACAGTTATTTTTACTCTCTTGAAAAGTATACTTTTTTGAGTTAGCACACTTTGAATATATAGTGTTTCGATATGCAAAAATAAGCAAAAACCTGTCAAACCAAATAGTCAATTACTTTGAAAGTAACCGCTTAATCTTAAATATTTCCTTAATTATTTAGCCTAAATTTTAAATGCAAAAAGAGAAAAAAACAGGTGTGCAATTGACTTGACTTAATCAATTAATCAATTAACATTATTAAGATTTAGGCAAAAGAGGTAATTGTGTGTGCAATTTTTTTTTTTTTTTCAAAAACTAGACATTTTGCGAAGGTCATATTTTTAAAGAGAAGTTTTTATAATTACTATGCAATGTACAAAATTAATGTACCCAAAAATATTTATGCATACAGAAGTAAATAAATATTAATCGCTTTATATATACATACTAGCTATACCCAGTGTGCTTTGCTACCCTAAAAGCAATATAAATAAAAAATCTTCTTATTAATTTTGAAGATTCTAACTGTAATGTTTTCCAGAGATAAATTTTTTCCGAACGTTAATTAAGATTTTAATGTAATCGATAACAAATTAAAAAAAAAATCTAATATTTTCCCAGATATACGAAATTTTGTATTTAATTCATATAGGCGGTGCCAAGACCCCATTGAAAGTCCGCCCGTTATTCTCTAAATGTTCACATTAATGTCAAAGATCTTCATGTAGAATTTGAAGATTCTAGCTTTAATAGTTTCTCAGATATACGAATTTTTCTATTTAATTCATATGGGAACTCACAGCCCCAGATGAAAGTCCGCCCTTTTTTTTTCCAAAATGTTCATATGTATAATAAAGTTCTTCTTGCAATATTTGAAGAATCTTGTTCTATTAGTTTCCCAGATAAGCGAAATTTTGTATTTAATTTATATGTGAGGTGCCAAGCCCCCCATTGAAAGTCCGCCCGTTATTCTCTGAATGTTCACATGAATGTGAACATTCAGAGAATAGTTTAATAATAGTTTCTCAGATATAATAATTTCCCTATTTAATTTATAGCCCCCCTGACGAAAGTCCGCTCTTTTTTCTCCATAATGTTCAGATGAATATTTAAGTTCTTAGTGCAAAATTTGAAGAATTTAGTTCTATTAGTTTCCCAGATAAACCAATTTTTGTATTTTATTAATATGGGAGGTGCTGCTCCCCTCATGGGTAGTCCGCCAATTTATTTCCCAAAATGTTTACATGGATGTTAAAGTTACTCGTGCAAATTTTTAATATTCTAACTGTAATAGTTTCCAAGATAAACGAATTTTTGTATTTAATTTATATGGGAGGTGCCACGCCCCCTAATGCTAATCCGCCCACTTTTTGTCTTAAATAATTATATTGATACTAAAGTTGCTCCGACAAAATTTGAAGACTATAACTATTATATTATCTCAGATATACTAATTTAATATTTTTTTTAATATGGGCGTGGCACGTCGCCCACATGAAATTTCAACATAAAAAGTAGCCTATAGTTCCATCCAGACATACACGAAGAAACTGTGAAAATTTCAGGAAAATCGGTCCAGCCGTTTAGCAGTCTATAAAGCACAAACAAACATACATACAGACATACAAACACACTTTCATTTTTATATACATATATAGATTTTATTTAAAAAATTTTTAAAAACAACAGTTTTTAAAATGTTTGTACAACCGGTTCTATATTGAAATGTATAAATTACAAATTACCATTAATGCTATTAACAAACTAGTAAGTAAATTAAAACGTAAATATTTTAACACTATTATAGAACGAATAAGGAGTGATATTATTGAATGATTAAATCATATAAATATGTACGATCAGAAAAAAAAATAATAATAACATAATACTGGTTTAAATTGGTATTATTTTTATATGATAGTTATCATTAGAATTAATTAATATACAATTATTTCTTTGGTTTTGAATAAAAGTAAAATTTTGTTGGTATCTAAATAAGAGTATTTTCAAATTTGATTTCGGATATTGATTTTGAATAACGTATGTTGTTTAACTTTTCATATCCACCATCAGGATGAGATCGTATTGATTTTGTCATTCCTACTGTAATACATGGAAATATTAGATCGAGACCCACAAAAGTATGTATTAAATACTATTGACGATTTAGCGATTGACATCCGTCTGTCTGTTGAAAGAATGATAGGGTCCTAACGGAAAAAGTTGGATATATTCTAGAAATATTCTCTATGGACAAGGTTTGTTTGGCATGTAAAATAAAAGATATCGAAATAAATACATTATATTACTATTTTGAAAACTTATGGTGTTTAAAAAAGCCCATTTTGGCAATACAACGATACGATATAGGTTGTGAATTGACCTTCTTTTAGTAGAATTAAAAAAGAGAATTTCTTATATATGACTTATTCTTTTACAGATATTTTCAATTTGTTTATAAATGTATAACACTATTCACCGGTTGCGGTAACATAAACAATTTAAATCAATAATTGCAATTATATTAATTGGCATTATTTTATTATTAAAACATTAAACCACATTGATAGCTAATTAAAGTTTGGTGTTAACAGAGAATATGATTAATTGAAATAAAATAAGAATTATTTTCTTCATAAGAAAAATTATTGATTATTTATAAGACAAATCGTGTTATGGCATATTCTAATACATATTTATCTAGATTCAACACCATTTCTAGACGAATTTCAGAATTTATTGTTGTATTTTGTAAAATTTCTAGTTGAATTTTAGAACCTAGACTATAATGATCACTTACTTGAAGAGTAACATAACGAAACAGGTTTGGAAAATTCTGTATGATTGTACTTTTAGACTAGTCTATGGATTACTCAATAGAGCGGTCCAAGGCTAGTAAATGGACTTGTCTACTGAAATGTCCATAAACTAGTCCATAGATTGGCTCTTTTGTCAATATACTAATCCATAGATTAGTCCATAGACTAGTCTATAGCCTAGAACATAGGATAATAAACAACCTGATCCATACATATGCAATAGACTGGTCCGTTCACTAGTCATTAGACTGGTCTATGGACTGTTCCATACCTTAATCAATATTATTATCAATACATCATAGAATAGTCATTAGAACAGTTCATAGAATAGTGTATACACTAGCCAATAGAACAGTCCATAGACTAGTCCATAGACTGGTCCATACACTATTGCGTAGATAAATCAATAGACTAGTCCATTTACTAGTCAATAGACTGGTTAACACACTAGTCAATACACTAATCTATAAACTAGTCAATAGAATAATCTACAGACCAGTTAATTCACAAGTCAGTAAACCATTCCTGAGACTAGTCTTTAGACGAATTCATGGAGTAGGCCATAGAATAGTCAATAAACTAGTCCATAGACAAGTCAATAGATAATATACTAACTAATCAATAGAATAATTCACAGAATAGTTAAAGAACTACTCCTTAGTCATATTTCCATATGACCATATTTAAACTGGCTAATTTACAATTAAAAACTCCGATACACTAGTCAATGGACAAGTTAACAGACTAGTCAATGGACTAGTTAACAGACTAGTCAATGGACTAGTTAATAGACTAGTCAATAAACTATGAATAGTATAGTATGTAGATGAAAATCATATCAAAACATTTAACATTTAATATAAATCTGACCCACACCCACAGTTCATACAGTTTTGTTATAAATAAAGGTATAAATAACATTTTGTTGATCGTTATGTAAAAAAAGGTGGGAAGAAAGAAGCTGTTTATAACATTTGAATAGGAGTTTCTAACATGTTTAAGTACTTTTCAATATGTGTATGAATACACACACACGTGTCACATAAATACATACATATATACGTATATCTGAATGTACATATGAATGTCCGAATTTGTAAACATGTTTTCTGACATTGTTTACATTTATGTTCATGTATGATGCTGATAATGATGATGATGATGTTTTCAAAGCAATGGTCAATGGCTTTGACAGTAATGGTTTAAACCTTTTTTTAAGCTTTTTCTCAATTGACAAAGGTTCTATTGTTTAGCGATTTTTTTCTCTATTACAGGAAATTTTGTTTATATATTTTTTTTAATAACTTTTGTTTTAGATTTTTCACTAAAACAATTTGCATGTTTTTCTAATACTTGTTTATTGATTTGTTTGTTTAAAGTTTTTTAAAATGTATAAAGGTATATACATATATGTATATGTATGTACATAGAAACATGTATAGATGTATGATCAAACCTTTAAAAAAATATATTTAACAGGGATGGAACATTCTCAATTCCATAGACTACTTAAACTTACAATCCTTACACTAGTCTGTTTTTATTAGAATAGTCAATATACTTCTCTAAAGTCTAGTCCATATACTAGTCTTTAGACTAGTTCATGTACTGTTCCACAGACTCTTCAATAGATTAATCTTAATACTAGTCCCTAAAGTAGTCTTTAGAGTACTTCGTAGACTAGTCAATAGACTAGACCTAGTAGACTAGTACATTAGGCAAGTCCATAGACAAGTCAAAAGACTAATCAAGAAACCATGGAGTAGTCAGTAGAATAGTTCCTATACTAGTCTACAGATTTGTCAATAGACTAGTCCATAGGATAGTCAATAGACTGCCCCATACACTAGTTAATAGAACTATCAATACACCTATTCATACACTATTCCACAGACTAGTCAATAGACTGGTCCATAAACTAGTCAATAGACTGGTCTATAGACTAGTCAATAGACTACTCCATACACTAGTCAATAGACTGGTCCATAGACTAGTCAATAGACTGGTCCATAGACTGGTCCATAGACTAGTCAATAGACTGGTCCATAGACTAGTCAATAGACTGGTCCATAGACTAGTCAATAGACTGGTCCATAGACTAGTCAATAGACTGGTCCATAGACTGGTCCATATACTAGTCAATAGACTAGTCTGAATGCTAGTCAATGGACTAGTCTGAAGGCTAGTCAATGGACTAGTCTGAAGGCTAGTCAATGGACTAGTCTGAAGGCTAGTCAATAGACTAGTCTGAAGGCTAGTCAATAGACTAGTCTGAAGGCTAGTCAATAGACTAGTCTGAAGGCTAGTCAATAGACTAGTCTGAAGGCTAGTCAATAGACTAGTCTGAAGGGTAGTCAATAGACTAGTCTGAAGGGTAGTCAATAAGCTAATCTGTATACTAGTTTAAAGTTTAGTCTGTAGGTTAGTCAATACACTAGTATGTAGGCTAGTCTAAAAGATAGTCAGTAGAGTGGTCAATATACTAGTCTGTAGTCTGGTATGGCGGCTAGTCAATAGAAAAGTCTGTAGGCTAGTCAATAGACTAGTCTGTATGCTAGTCTATAGGTTAGTCTATAGACCAGTTTGTAGGTTAGTCTGTAGACTAAAACTGGTAAACTGGTCAATATACTAGCCTATAGGCTAGTCAACAGACTGGTATGTAGGCTAGTCAATAGACTAGTCTGTATGCTAGTCAATAGATTAGTCTGTAGGCTAATAATTATACTAGCCTGTACGCTAATCATTAGACTAGTCTGTAAGCTAGTCAATAGTCTGTAGACTAGTCAGTAGAATAGTATGTAGACTAGTCAGTAGAATAGTATGTAGACTAGTCAGTAGGCTAGTCTGTAGACTGGTCTGTAGGCTAGTCTGTAGACTAGTCTGTACGCTATTCAATAGCCTACATAATATAAGGGGTACATAAGATTCGGTTACAGCTCACTTACTTGTTTTTCATTCAGCATAATTTTTTTTTAGCACTTTGACTAAATTTCTAAAGAGCATGACGTACTTTTTTTTGTGTAATTAAGCAATTAAGAATTGTATGGGTTTTTAAAGTGTTTCGGTAAATATTCGTATGAATATAGCAAGTGTGTGTGTGTATTGTTTTTAGGCATATGGGTTGAATGTTTAATTGTGCTAGAAAGAGATTTACGCACTTAATTTAAGTTAAATAAAAAATAATTTAATACTTAAGTCGTCTAACGAAATATAAAATCTGACACAAATCTGACATAATTGCTAATGCTTAAGCAGTAAATAAAAAAATAATGAAAAAAAACTTAATAATATTATATGATAAAAACATCAATATGAATGAGATTGTAATCTTATATAGTAGATTAGTTGCTTAATTTGATAAATTTGATTTAATTTTTATTATTTTCAGATTTAGAGGCCGAAGAAGACGACATCGCCTTGGCGATGTCACCGACTAATAGACAAATAGCCAAGACACCAACACCACGCGATATCAGCGAAAATCCCGATGAACGTGAGACATGGAGCGGCAAAGTCGATTTCCTGCTATCCGTTATAGGATTCGCTGTAGATTTAGCAAACGTATGGCGATTTCCTTATTTATGCTACAAAAATGGCGGTGGTAAGTACTTATATCCCTTTACACTTTCCCCTATCCAGTTTAAAGGAAATGGTTAATTTTCTATAAGATATGGCATTTTGACCACCGCAACAATCATAAGTTGTGTGGTATTAAGGGAATGTATAGCAGTAGCAGCATCAGCAACAAAAGCTAATTTGGGCCACTTGTCGGCTTAATGCCACAGTGAGCACAATTAGAATTATAAAACAATTTACGCATGAAGAGGGGCGAAAAGTAAAGTTTTTTTTTTATTCGTTTCTTAAGCTTAAGAGACTTAACGCTGAAGTTGACTTGAGTTTAGAAGTAGGACACATCCATAACAGACTGAAAGGATGTGCTTTTGTTTTATTCTCTTTCTTTTCTTATTTTTTTTACTTGCAACAAAACAATTATGTAGCAGAAAGTATTTATGAATGTGAGTCTGCATGCAATTGTACTTATATCTATCAACATTTTATTTTATTTCTACAATACTTATTTCCTGTTGGTTGTATTTGAGTAAATCTTTTGCTATTTTTAATAAGAGTTATTTAGAGAATATATTTTATTCGTTTTTCTCCGAAATTGCTTAGGGTTTATAGATTTTTACAAGGGTATTCAGTTCTAGTTCTAGTTCTGGTTTAGTTCTAGTTCAGTTCTAATTCAGTTTTAGTACAGTTCTAGTTCAGTTCTAGTTCAGTTCTAGTTCAGTTCTAGTTCAGTTCTAGTTCAGTTCTAGTTCAGTTCTAGTTCAGTTCTAGTTCAGTTCTAGTTCAGTTCTAGTTCAGTTCTAGTTCAGTTCTAGTTCAGTTCTAGTTCAGTTCTAGTTCAGTTCTAGTTCAGTTCTAGTTCAGTTCTAGTTCAGTTCTAGTTCAGTTCTAGTTCAGTTCTAGTTCAGTTCTAGTTCAGTTCTAGTTCAGTTCTAGTTCAGTTCTAGTTCAGTTCTAGTTCAGTTCTAGTTCAGTTCTAGTTCAGTTCTAGTTCAGTTCTAGTTCAGTTCTAGTTCAGTTCTAGTTCAGTTCTAGTTCAGTTCTAGTTCAGTTCTAGTTCAGTTGTAGTTCAGTTGTAGTTCAGTTCTAGTTCAGTTCTAGTTCAGTTCTAGTTCAGTTCTAGTTCAGTTCTAGTTCAGTTCTAGTTCAGTTGTAGTTCAGTTCTAGTTCAGTTCTAGTTCAGTTCTAGTTACAGTTCTAGTTCAGTTCTAGTTCAGTTCTAGTTCAGTTCTAGTTCAGTTCTAGTTCAGTTCTAGTTCAGTTCTAGTTCAGTTCTAGTTCAGTTCTAGTTCCAGTCTAGTTCAGTTCTAGTTCAGATCTAGTTCAGTTCTAGTTCATACTAGTTCAGTTCTAGTTCAGTTCTAGTTCAGTTTCTAGTTCAGTTCTAGTTCAGTTCTAGTTCAGTTCTAGTTCAGTTTCTAGTTCTAGTTCATAGTTCAGTTCTAGTTCAGTTCTAGTTCAGTTATAGTTCAGTTCTAGTTCAGTTCTAGCAGTTTAGTTCAGTTCTAGTTCAGTTCTAGTTCAGTTCTAGTTCAGTTCTAGTTCAGATCTAGTTCAGTTCTAGTTCAGTTCTAGTTCAGTTCTAGTTCAGTAGTTCAGTTCTAGTTCAGTTCTAGTTCAGTTCTAGTTCAGTTCTAGTTCAGTTTTAGTTCAGTTCTAGTTCAGTTCTAGTTCAGTTCTAGTTCAGTTCTAGTTCAGTTCAGTTCTAGTTCAGTTCTAGTTCTAGTTCAGTTCTAGTTCTAGTTCAGTTCTAGTTCAGTTCTAGTTCAGTTCTAGTTCAGTTCTAGTTCAGTTCTAGTTCAGTTCTAGTTCAGTTCTAGTTCAGTTCTAGTTCAGTTCTAGTTCAGTTCTAGTTCAGTTCTAGTTCAGTTCTAGTTCAGTTCTAGTTCAGTTCTAGTTCAGTTCTAGTTCAGTTCTAGTTCAGTTCTAGTTCAGTTCTAGTTCAGTTGTAGTTCAGGTTTAGTTCTGTTCTAGTTCAGTTCAGTTCTAGTTGAGCTCTAGTTGAGTTCTAGTTGAGTTCTAGTTCAGTTCTAGTTCAGTTCTAGTTCAGTTCTAGTTCAGTTCTAGTTCAGTTCTAGTTCAGTTCTAGTTCAGTTCTAGTTCAGTTCTAGTTCAGTTCTAGTTCAGTTCTAGTTCAGTTCTTGTTCAGTTCTAGTTCAGTTCTAGTTCAGTTCTAGTTCTAGTTCTGTTCTAGTTCTGTTCTAGTTCAGTTCTAGTTCAGTTCTGGTTCAGTTCTAGTTCAGTTCTAGTTCAGTTCAAATTCTAGTACAGTTATAGTTTGGATTGCCCTACTTTGGCGCCCTCTCGATGTTTATGATATTTTACATTAATATTCATAAACATATTCAAATTATATTACGGAAAGACATCTGAATAATTGGCCGTTTTCAGCTAATATTCAATTACATTTGGCCTTGCAAAATGTGTTCGAAATCTTAGAAATCACTTTCTCTGCCAGCAACCAAATTACCATAAAGATTATATCATAAGTAGAAAAAGTCAACAGAAGTATCATGCACAAATCCTTAATAATGAGTTTTCAGCAAAAGCATGTTTCCAAATATGTAAAATTTCTATCTTCCCAATCCTTGCAAAAACAATGAGCGGTAGAAAATATTTTCATGATTTGTGGATGATTGCTCATATTTAAAAGTATCCATCATATAGAAATTATCCTCAAAGTTAAGTGCTTTGAAATACATGTATACGAACTACGTCTGCAGATAAAGAGTCCTTCATTCAGTGCTAAAATATGCTTTTTACCAAACACTTTTCAAAAAGCCATCATAATTGTCAACATTACCATTGTCGTCTTCATCATCATCATAATCACATTTAATACGATTCGCTTTCGTTGTCAAGGCTTACATTTTACATCTATTACACCCCAATCCAAACCCATTCCAAAGCAGCAACAAATCTTAACAACATCTTCAACAAAAGGATTTTCCTACTCTATTATGTCTTCTTAACAAAAAAAAGATGGAATAAAATCACAAAAATAAATAAAAGTAGAAAAACTTATGGTTAAAAGCATAATATTAACACAATTGGCTGTGATTTTCGTTTTTTTCTCGTTTCGTTTCCCTTGATTTCTTAGCAGTACTTGCACGTTTCTTATCCTATTGGTTGTGGTGGGGTTTTAAAAGCAACAAGCCGTACATCGTAGTACTACTACATCTTAATCTGGATATTTATCATTTTATTACTTTGATTTCTTTTTATATAACCCAATAAGCAAAAACCTTTGAAATGATGTAAATGTGTATTTGAAAACCTATTCAAATTTCATACATAGCCTTTGAGAACAAATTTGAAAATTTTTGTTTTCAAATGGAAAATTATGGCCTTCTCAAACATATTTTTCTTTTATATCTCCGATTATTTCTCCTATATTTAACGTTTTTTCGCTCCCTTGCTGTAGAAAAAATGTTCTGTTTTTATTTTTCTAAAATAATTTATTTTTTGAAAGAAACTTTTCTAAGTTCAATTAAAACAAAACTTTGAAAATTTTATAAATATCACACATTATATTTTTTAAGCGTTTTTTGAAATTATCATGTTTATTTCAAAGGCTAAACTTTAAAATTTGAAAACAATTTGGAAAATACATTATTTAGTTAAGAAAATTTTCAAAAATATTCACAGGTTTGAATCGATGTTTATTGGGAACTCACATACATCGACATACATATACATTCACAAGTAAACGCCTGTTGCTTTTTTGTGCTCAAACGTACGTTTTAAGTGAAAATAATCAAAAAGTCATATTTTCAATTACAGTTTTTCATTATTTTTTTATTTCAATTTCTTTCTGTTAAAATTGTTATATTATTCGCTTGAATGATTTCAATAAGTGTTAGTTTACGTTATGGTTTTGTTATAGCTTTTAAGAAAAAGGTCCTTTAAATTGTTGAGCATTATTTTTAAGTTGACAGGATTATAATTTACCACCACACGAACCACACGTATTTAGTGGTCTTAAAATTTATGAGGTCAAAGCTCAGGCAATTGTAGAAAACATTTATTTAATAGGGATTTAGGTTTTTTTTTGTGTAAAAGTAAATGTTATACTTTTTATGAAGAACACTTTATATGAATATTTAATGCTTCACAATGTTATTAGAAAGGCAAATATTTAGAAATAGTCTTATATAGTATTTACTTTAGTATATTCTCAAGTCTAGAATATAGTATCTTCTGTAGTCAGGATCTTGTCTATAGTCTAAATATAAACAGTTCTATACTCTAAATTATAATCCTGTCAGTAGTCTGGCCTATAGGCCTATTGAGGACTAAGCCTCATTTATAGTCTGAACTATAGATTTGTCATTAGTGTGTACTAAAGTCTCGTCTGTATTATAATCTCGCCTGTAGTATGGCCTAAACTCTCGTCTGTAGTCAGGATAATTGTCTTGTCTATAGTCTCGTCTATAGTCTGGACTATAGTCTCGTCTATAGTCTGGACTATAGTCTCGTCTATAGTCTGGACTATAGTCTCGTCTATAGTCTGGACTATAGTCTCGTCTATAGTCTGGACTATAGTAATGTCTATAGTCTGGACTATAGTGTCGTCTATAGTCTGGACTATAGTGTCGTCTATAGTCTGGACTATAGTGTCGTCTATAGTCTGGACTATAGTAATGTCTATAGTCTGGACTATAGTGTCGTCTATAGTCTGGACTATAGTGTCGTCTATAGTCTGGACTATAGTGTCGTCTATAGTCAGGACTATAGTGTCGTCTATAGTCTGGACTATAGTGTCGTCTATAGTCTGGATTATAGTAATGTCTATAGTCTGGATTATAGTAATGTCTATAGTCTGGACTATAGTGTCGTCTATAGTCTGGACTATAGTGTCGTCTATAGTCTGGACTATAGTCTCATCTATAGTCTGGACTATATTGTCGTCTATAGTCAGAACTATAGTGTCGTCTATAGTCTGGACTATAGTCTCGTCTATAGTCTGGGCTATAGTCTCGTGTATAGTCTGGACTATAGTGTCGTCTATAGTCTGGACTATAGTGTCGT